TTCACAACGCGACCTTGACGTTTCCCATGGAGAATAACAGAATTCCATCGTAGAAATATCAAAAATTTTCAAAAAGAAGTTAGATAGATGCATGTGATAAGGCGCCGCGGGAGAAGCAATAAAGATATGGTACTGATTGTAATTAAACTTTATCTTTGGATGAAAGAACTAACAATAAATAAAATGTAGTTCCTGCTATGATCTGAACGGATGTTTCAACTAATTGGTCGCTTGTTTTCAACACAAGTAGGCTTTCAATGGTTATTCAATAGTATCAAGATACTAAATATTAACTTTAAATAGCAATTTTATGTAAGTACTATCTATCGTTTATTTATTTACCAGAAACATAAAATAATAAAGATATTTAACTTAATTAAGATTATATATTTTAAACCAACCGCCTTTTTAAATCACATTTACTGAGAATTTAGTGTCTATATCGTATGTATGTCGCTTGGGATTTTCTCTTTAATTAAAAGGAATTCATGAGAGAATGCTTATTTAAATTATATGATTTGTGAGACGCTTGAGCAATGCTCATTGTCTAATTCTCACCTCTAAACAAAAGCGTTCTTATATTTTTGGAGCATGACAGCACCTACAATATTATACACAAAAATATGGTATTTCGCATACGCATAATATAATACAATGAGTGGGGCCATAAAGAAGGCACCGCTTGACGCCGGCTGGTCAGACTCCGCTTATAACGCTCAAATAAACCCTGTTATAAATATGTATATGAAATATAAAATATAATATATACTTTTTTATTATTAAATTTATACAAATATTTTAAGTAGTAATGACTATGAATAAATGACTTGATGAGTTTTCATGACAACAAAAAGACTCCCGCAAAATAAGAAATAGTTATTGTATCATGTACTAATTAATTAAATTTAATTAGTACAGGAACTTATTATTTAATTTATTAACGAAAAATTCGCGGGCATTTAGTAAGTAGGTATAAAATATATGCCACAATTTTTGTTGCTTTTCAATTTAAATGGATAGTAAAATTTATTTTTGGTGATGAAAATAGCTTGCGGTTCACTGTTAAGCCTGTAATTTTATTGAACAATAAATACTAAACCTCATTTTAGTTTATTTTACTCCACTATAGTAATTTCATAAATGATCATTTTAATATTAAAAAAATAATATTTTAATTTTTATCGAGTTCATGCAATGGAGCAGTAAAGACAAATACTATAACCAACTAATTTCTTCATCATAGTTTCTTTCCCACATTTACCTGATTTAATTCAACATTATACGCTATTCTGTTCTCAAATCTACTTAAAATCACTTAGTAAAGTAAAATATAATTATAAGCTTTATAATGTAGAGCTGATGACTTATTATACATAGATATATAATGTTCCAATTTTATTTTAATAAGTTATTGAATTGTTCTCAGTATCTGTCTGTGTCTTTGATTATTAATGCAAGGGCAGGTGAAACATTTAACTAGATCCGATAAAAATATCTAGGCGAGTGTCCAGCGTTCGTCACCGACCACGGCCGAACCAATCAAAAGCGCCGATAGTTCAACCAAGACCTGCCATAAACCCATTCTAATATACGCGTATTCGTTGCGTTGAAGACTTTTATGAGCAATTTAACAAGTGTCTCGTACCCAGGGCCGGATTTGATTTATGCCCACATAACGTATGTTTACGATGTACGTTTATTATTTCTTGTATTCCACCGCTCTAGGAGCTGATAATGTTATTTGAGAAGTAAAGAATATCGAGATAAAACAGACCAAGGCCCCCAAACGCTTTCTTTTCGATGATCGAATAAATTATCAAATTTTTATGTTGCAGCTGCTGATGACTGATGTTGTATGTTTTATTATTCATGTAATAGCTACCTACTACTGGGCATAAAGTAGAATGATAAAAACACTTTAGTTAATAGATTTTTATTAACATACAATTCTTAAGATTATACTTTTATCACTATAATTTTAACTATTCAATTATTGATAAATAATAAATTTTGTTAAATATTTACATACTTATTAATACTTTTATTTATTAGGTAATTGCTAAATTCATATTATAAACGCATAAAATATTAACCTAATTATCATTTTTATAATATTCCCATTTAAAAACATTACGGTAGAATATACGTCAATTTTTAAAAAAAAACCGTTATGATTATAATTTTACATCATCAAACGCACATAGCATTAAATGTACGGCGCTAATGTTCATACGGCCTGTGGACTAAAGTAATAAACATTCATAATATGTATATTATAGCAGATGACTTAAGAGTATTTCAATACATCATTATAATGGAAATCGTATCATTAAAGCATTGAAGTTAGTTCATTGATTTTAACAAAGCGATGTCGCACAAATGTCAAGTCGACCCGCAGACTGAGCATGGCCCGTGGTGGTGGGCGGTCACGTCGCATTTCATTTGAAATGAGCCAATGCACACGCACTATTGACTTACATACAGTTCTAATGAAAGAGAAACAAGTAAGAATAATTAACATTTTTGCTTTACGTCATAGTTAAAATGTTATAATTTTATACAAAATACTTTACCATTCTATTATATTATTTATTTATTGTATTTTAATGTCTAAGATACTTATAAAGTAAGATTGCATGTGATTTTACAACAAAAATATTTAAGAATTGTTGATTAAAGATTTCATCTATTTACAACTATAATAGCTGCTAAGGTTATTGTAAATTGTCTTTAGTAAATTTTTATTTTGATAATCTATCTAACGATCTAATTTAATAAGCGTGATTTTGGTGTAATTACAAGTTTTATTAGTACAGTTATTATTGAGTTTTGTATGTGCTAATATAATAAAAATTTTAAATTGAATGATGTTTGAAACCCTAAAAACGAGACAGACTTGCCAGATTTTAAGATTTTTTGTTGTTTCACTTTACGTATAATTACACCAATTTGAACGCTTTATGCATTATTATATTTAAGGTAGAGCAAAACCAAAAAGAACATTTATAAACCCATATCATAGATTCCTTTTACAATTTCAATTTTATGTGTTTTTATTGTTTGTTAATGAATCCATATTAACACGTATTCTGTATACCAATAACCTGTGCTACTTATCACAGTTCAAAAAGAGCGTTTTATCATATATTCATAATTATGTATATATTTTTAATTTTATAAATATTAAAGTGTGTTTTTTTGTTTATCCTTCGGTCACGTCAAAACAGAGTAACGGATTGGCATGATTTTTTGTGTAAAGATAGTTGTAGGGCTGGAGAGTTATATAGGCTACTTTTTACCTGAAAAATTATGTCATCCCAACGGGAAAAATACAATATATATGTATATAGTCTATCTTCTTCATACTAAACGTTAAAACGAACCCAAAGACGTGTCTGAGGGAAGCGAGGGTGAGTCGCTAGTATCTTATCGTTCTAAAAACAAAGTCGAAAACGATTCCTAAGAGATAAAGTTCCTTTTGGATCCTTTACAAAAATACTAAAAATATAATTGTATTGTATATAGTTTAATTTAGAAACTCCTGATATTTGGTCTCTATTCTTCCGTTTCCATTTATATTAGGAAGATGCGTGGGTGAATGAATATGTCTAAGATAAATTATTGGGCTTTGGCAGCCTAGCTTTTACGGCAGAAACGGTCATCTAATATAGCATTATGTAATAAAAATTCAGTATGATCATAAAAAATATAATTTAGCTACCTAGTTAATACTTAATTAGTGCTGGTACAAATGATAAGTTTTAATTTTCTACATAGAGTTTATTAAATAAATGACGCTTCACATATTTTCTTCAAAAAATATTCCTCATGTTCATAAGAATTAAAGGAATTAATATCTAGATACCGCACAGACTTACAATTTTTTTATCATCCTATAAATTATTCTTTAAAATTATTCGTTAAGCGTAGTAATATTAAAATATCAAATTATAATATTAATGCAATACGTACAAAAATTAATTTAAAAAATGTATTAAGTATATTCTTTTTATTAATTTCATTTATCAATTTCTAGATGGCGTTGCTCTAACTTCTTTATAATAAATGTTATAGATATATCAATTGTAAACCAAAATTCATCTTAATAAAGTATTAAGCTTACAATGGTTTCAGTTTTTAAATAGAAAACATTCTAAGACCATTTATAACGGTTGGTAAGAACAACGCTTTCTCTCATCACTTATTCCCCGCAAGTCCAGCGTCCCGTAGAGATGTGTCATTGAGATGCGTACGTGTCAGACGTGCCAGTGATAACACAGAGTGAATTGTGACCAGGGTGGGCTGTAAAACGTTCATCAGATACCACTTCAGATGGGTGACGGCCCACGTGACATATTTGGGTGCCTAAATCTAGACAAAGCACGGATGATTTGTGCCTAACTACCAAGTCATACTTGTCTGAGATACGCAAATACTTTAGAGAAGTCACGGAAGTAGATTTATATCTAACGCATAAACGTGTAAGCGACTTAAGTTTTAGATAGACAATCTGGCAGTGCAATCTTCAAGCTGTTAAATACCGTTATGTGTTTAGAACTCTAATCATCAGTAGTATAAATTGATAACACTTTGTAGCCTTCTGTACGTTCAGATAGGTTATAATAAAATTAACAGTGAGAAAATTTTAGCTTAATAGCTTAAAACAACTATAGCCAAATCATTCTAAAATTACATAAATGTTATATATGTTCATCGTACTATTATCACGTGGCGTTTCTATAACTCATACATCAATCATATATTAAAACTATCTTAGCCGTATTATGGAAAATAACAAATCTTAAGATACATAATACGAATATGAACTATTTGTTATTCTCATTTATTCATTCGTGTCGGCATTTTTCTCACATATATATTTTATATTTATATATGTATTTTAAATATTAAATATATTATTCATTTAGTGTTTGTTACCTTAGATATTTCGTATCGCCAATTATAACGTACAAAAAAATACAAGAAACTAACGTACTCACCTGAAGTAGTCATTTTTGCAAAATATATTGCTATCTCGCGCGTAGCATCTCTGTTCCGAGTCGAGTGGCATCTTGCATTCGCAGCATCTCAGGCAGGGGGTATGCCAGCGTCTTTCAAGGGCCAGAAGATAATATCTGTCTGTTATCCTAGCTCCACAGCCTGCGCATCCGTCCTCGGGGGGTGGTGGTGGTGGTTCATCTGGCGGCTCCCTCTTGCGACACGAAGTGCAGTCACGGGGCGAGCCTGGCGACGCGACTGGCGCCACAGGTGACAACTCGGCCCCCGCCTCGTATGCCGAAGATAGGTACCGCTCACTCTGTTGCTGGAATAAGAAATAATGTTATATTTACCTATTGTATTATAAATTCAAAATATATACAAATACGAAAGTTTTTAAGTGTGTATGTTTGTTACCCTTTCACGCTGAAACGGCTGAACAGATTTAGATAAAATTCTGTACGTAGATAGACTACATACCTAAAGTAACATAGGCTAGGTATTTCCTAAGGATGCACCCGAAGAATCGAGGGTAAATCACGAGTAATAATATATACAAGATAAAATAGTTTGCACTATATGTCGGCTTTTCTAAATAATCTGGTGTTATAGATCTCATTTTTTCCCGAATTGACACAATATTTCCTACAGTTTAGAATTTAGTCATTCACGTTCACTTAAAACATCTATCTGTATATAGAACAAAGTCTGGTTTGTTACAACACTTATAACTCGACAACTTCTGACCGATTTTTATGCGCTTTGTTTTGTTCGATTTGTCTTCACCCTGAATAGCAAAATAACTATTGAAAACATCGGAAAAATTCATGAAAAAAAAGTTGGAAAAAATGTCTATTACACACTGAGCGTCAAAACGTACTTAGGGACGTACCGGAGCGAAGCGAGGGTGAGTCGCTAGTATTCTATATAAATTCAAAAAAGTTAAACTAATTCAAGTTGAACTAAGTCAAAACCAATATTTTTCACTCATTTGCTACACCTTTATAAAATTTACACTGATGCGTAATATTGTTCTTATGCTATTTTCAGTAATGAACTGAATATATATTATTTCTGTTAATGGGGACAGAGTTGTAATTAAGATAGACTTTCTTAAATGATTTGTTAATATCAAAAGACTAATGTCGCATTTGCATGATTAACATCGCTGAGACATAACGTTTTGATAAGATAATATATGTGTATGTAATAAGTTAATTAATTTATTTCTTTCTAGACAGCACTTTTGTATAATAATAATAAACCCTTTCCCTTTTTTGAATGTAATAAACTAATTTAAATTCGTAATTAATGTCGCTCCACATATTAGGATGTATGTAATATGTAGGTAGGTATGTAAGATATAAATATTTTTTTAAATAATTTATTTCAGTAAAAAAGTGTGTGATAAACAAAATAACGTTAGTTTATTTTTGAAAAAGTTAAAAAAAAATCCAAGTTCTAGTTTGTGTGTTGAAAAAATTTCATATTTCTAAACTATGGATGGTTCAAAAGCTTTGATATACGGCAGTGTGTGACTTTGTGTCATATGAAATATGATGTAAAATTTTATCTCTTAAACAAGATCTAAATCTTTTAAACATTCGTTTATTTCCCTTAGTATCGTCAGAAATTATGCTTCTGAATAGTCATAAGCTCTGCACATGCAAATCAATAAAAAAAATATATAAAATATTTAAAATGGATTACCTACATCATAAAATTTACATATTATTTATTTTTAAAGTAACAGATGAAATTAGTTTGTATACTTTTTAGAAAAAGCGTCCATAGGAAAAATGCTTACCTACCTATAGCTAAAAATACAACATAGAAATACCTCCAGCACCATAAGAAATTTGTGTAGTAATTTTATTTTACTAAAGACCAAACAAATAATAAATTTTAAATAGTGTCCAAACAATAGTTTTATTAAGTTAAAACTTCTCCTTGAAGACTTGGAGTAACATAATTCCAATAGTATAACAAATTGCAAGAATTAATGTAAAGAAAAAATAGGGTCATAAAATCCGGATGTATCTCATCAGAATACGTTTGATTAACATAATTATTATTACACTTACATGAATTTTAATTGAATGAGCAATAACTAATAATGGGATTTGAAATCGCCGAGCTCCGACGCGCATCGCGGCGCGAAAATTACATCCAATTTGATTCAATTACCAAATACACAAAAGCTTTGTAACTTTAGGTGGTGTTTTTTTTAATTCCTCATGCAATAATAACCATAGCCGTTTTTGAATATAACATATTTTATTGCTAGCAATTTATTTTATTATTCGATAATTCCACAAATAATACAAAAAATATACAAAATAAAACAAAGATTTCGGTTACAGATTAATTGCAGGAGTAATTTATGTTTGGATTTTTATATAAAAAGTCGACTACGCAAAAAATAAATAAAAGAATTAAATTATATATTTATTTTCAATGTTAAATCTACTATTAAATTGCAAAACTGACTCATATGTATGTATATTGTATAGCTTTTAATAGGCTATTCTCGAATTTACCACTCAACCTGTTTGCGGCCCTAAAACGGAAAGCACGACTTGAAATACACCTCGCTGGTATATATAACTTACGCAATTACTTGCCGACGGAAAACAAACATCCTCTGTACGATCTCAACTAGCATCAATACCGCATATCGGTACTTCAAATCGCTTCATTTTCCTAAAATATCTTTAAGAAATGCTACGTTCAGTGTATTTGTAGAAATAACTGTGAAAATTATAGTTTATGTAATTTTCTACAAAAATAATAATAAGGGATAATATTATACACTGTATTGCACAGAAAGTAGGTATTTTGTTTTTCCTATATTAATTACGTTCCAAATAAACGTTTTAAATTAAAAATTAGTTGTTCAATATTAAAATTTAAATATTCAATCAAAATTAAAATTTCAAACACATAATAAATTTAGAAATGCCATCACTTTTTTCGCTGTTAATTAATATTTGCGTGTTTTATAGATTACGCTTAATACTTAACCGGTATTTTTTCCTTGTAGGTACATAATATGTGATAATTCATATATAATGATATTGATATTTGAGGTGTGTGATAGGAAACATAGGTATATAATAGTAATCTATTATATACCTGTGTCTAGTGTATTCTATTGAAATTTTCGACAAGCAAACAAATCATTTCAATAAAAGTATCAATATCAATACATACTACCTACCTACTCTACGAGACAATTGTTCTAGTGTTACATGAGTATTTCAGAAGTAGGTCAAGTAGGCCAAATAAAATTCGATGTAACGGCACACAGTTTTTACTCTTTTGTAGTTAGAATAACGCCTCAAACATTATGAAAATGACGTCTTTCATTAAATCATAAAACAAAAAACAAGGCCTTTTCCGCCCTTTTTCCACTCAAGATAACAATTTAAGAGAACTCAAATAAGTATTTTATATAAAAGATGACAACTTATAGAAATAAATAATTATTTTACAATTATAGTTACGTTATATATATATATATATATATATATATATATATATATATATATCCTATTTTTATGTAATTAATAATATATGTATTTATATTATTATGAAAGTTAACACTAGTAGAGTTCATTTAAGAGACAACGAAATAAATGATAAAACAAACAACAAGTAAGTAATCGTATAATTTACCTACCTAGTTGAATTCAAAAATATTGAAATCAAAAACGCGTATTTAATAAGTTTATTAAGGTTATATTAGTTTTACGTTATGACAAACAAAATCACTTAATTTACGAATAAATTTACCTGAATTTCCAAGTACATTTACTGAGCGATATTGTTAAAGTTGTATTCACCTACTTTACTTAACTAAGGGTGCTCGGCGCTAAGCTTTCCACGTAATCAAAGTTTAAGTTTTTGATATATTTCTGTAACATATTTTCTTGACATTTACTTTAAAACTTACTGCGAAATATAGTAGTAAATATATATCATAGTAGTAAATGATTTTAACTTTTATAATTTGAGATATTTAAAATAGAATTGTTGTTATCACTTATAACTGTAAGTGAATAGTTTGAGTATTATCTTTTTATTTTTATGTTTTACTAGCAAAGACTAAGATTAAAATTTTCAAATGAGATCATGTGTAGAGAAATTTATGCTCAGTAACTTCATTTATAAAATAAAGCTTAAACTGTGATAATTGTAAATAGCGTCATAAGTTTAGGTATACATTTATTTATGACATTTATAGTTATTTGGATCTTTTCCGCAGAACACGATTCCTCGCTTGATTTCGCCCTTAAAATAACGTACCTACCGTGAAGTTTTAGAAACTGTTATTCCAAATGGAAATTCAGTATAATTTCAAAACGTTAGGAATATATTTTATTTAAAATTAATCCCACAACGACCGCGGACACGCTGGCGTAACAGTTAACAATAGATTTCTTAGAAATTTAATTAATTTCTTAGAAATTTATCTGGCGGTGTTAAAATTAAACACAACAAATAGTCAACAGAACAACAAAACTAACAGTCGCCTAAGACGGACCATTCTATCGTACAGGATAACTTTTATAATAAATTAAATAATAGAAAACTGCGTTCTTTAAAGACTAAAAAGGCTTTTAATGTACGCATTGTAAAGTTACATAAGTTAATCTATACTAATATTATTAAGAGCCAGAGTTTGTTGAGAAAGGCTATAGGCTATATATCGTGCAATAAGTATATAGTCTATCTATCCCATACATAGATACGAACCCGAGCGAAGCGAGATTGAGTCGCTAGTAATTGTATAAAGATGCAGAGTTTGTTTGTTCTTGTTCTTTAAAGACTAAAAACGTTTTTAATGTGCATATTATGAAGTATTATTATATAGGTACATAGGTACATTATATTAGTAGGTATACATAATTATTGCAAGTTATACTTCGTGGTTTTACGAATTTATTTGTAACATACTTTTTTCAACAATAACAATCAGATGGTATAATTAATTAACATGTTTCAAAAGGAGATAAAAGCAGAAAAACTTCTCAAATTCAAATGGACAATTTTAATATTTTATATCTCCACATAATAAATTCGAAGGTTCTGTAAATCATTAAAGCCTTTAATCTCTATCGTAAACTTAAAAAAAAGCTATAGTGTTATAGTGGTCATGTCTCCAAAAAATGTAGGTGCTTAAATAACTATATCGAGAAAATGATAATTCAAAAAAAAATCATTACGTTATATATGAAAAAAACGTATGTAGTAGAGTTATTGTTATGTATTATATGTCCCTACCTATGTAGATATTATATAAGTATCGGTAAGTAACTATAAAAGTAATAGTTTAAAAGTAAATAATATATAGGTAAGTACATAGGTGGTCAAAATAGCAAACGATGTCAAATGTTATCTTTTTTATATTATTAAATTATTTTAAAATTATTCATGTAAATATAATATAGGTAGGTAAATGTGTAGGTATATATACATATTAATAACATGAAATTATTGCCTTTTGCGCCAAGTAATAAGTTTAGTTTACATATACATACTAATTTTCAGCATAATATATATTTTCGTATAGATAGGTATCTAATAAGGTAATAGAAATACACACAATAAAACTTGTATCTCCACTCGATCACAGGTTGATATCATTATTGAGTACTAAACACTTGCTTCTTTTAGATTAATTTATATTTCTGAGAATTATTTCTTTTATTATTATAAACGTCCATAAATAAGACTAATGTGTGTAATTAAGAACTTAACGTGTCGTTTGTGATTTATTTATGCGTATAATAAATAAAACTTAAATAAATAAATAATGTTGGTATGTGTATGGTTAACGAAGCCGTCGGCAAAAGGTTAATTATCTACCTACCGGTGATAAAAAACTAAGGACCAAATTGAATTCTTATGTCTTAAGGTTTTTCAAATTTTATTATACCTACACTAGGTATTAAATTTTATTGACGCTACTTGCTAAAAACTTAATGGGCAATTTTACAACTCTATGTGTATATATCAAAACTCTCATTTGCATGTGTCTCCATACATGGAGGTACATCGTAGGTTTATAACTCAACAACGACAAAATTATTTTAGATTTCACATAAATAAACATATCATTACCATATTAAGTTATATATAGGAATTATAATGTTTAAACCTATACGTAATGACAATTCTATTAAAAGTAATATACTATAGGTAGGTAAAATACAAAACAATATGCAAATGAAAAACGAATAGACATCTTAAATATTTACAACTGGATTATTTTTATAAATAATTAGGTCATTAAGTAGATATTAGGCGTAATATGATAGATGCAGTCCTTAAATATATAAGCAAACTCACTATCAACCTTCAAAAGATTTCAACGATACCACCTATCTTTCACAGTTATGCCAAGCAAATATTTAACATTGAATTATTAATTATATAATGTAGGTACGTGTACCTTATAGATGTTCCTTAAATTACTAAATCAAGCTCTGTATATAATATAAATTTTGATAGAACTAATTATCAACTTAGAAATTACTTAAGCATAATAGTAGACTCTACAAGAGTAATGTAAGCAAAACACACGCTTTAGCTAGATAGGTTTATTGCTATTTATATATTGATTATAAAAATATATTCTATAAAAGGTACTATTTTAAATTTTCTTAATTCATATTTCAATCGATACGTGTTGTAAATAATAATATAATGTAAGCTTTTTAAAATATTCAGCCTAGTAATGGTAATGTTAAATATTTTTCTTTATAATTTAAAATTCACTTTAACTTAGATATATAGAGCTTTTAAAACTTATGGAACTTTCAAAAAGTTCTAAAGAAAGTGACAGAAAGTCTCACCCAGTGCATCGCCCCCCTCTCTTCGTACACTCCCATCTGGGGGTCAATTTTTCCGTTTTGTATTTTCGAACGTATGGGCCTCTGCCCCACTGCACTCTGCACTCACTCGCGGGGCATGCCGTGCGCGGCGCGTGGCGGCGGCCGAGCGACTGCCGGTCGGGCCTAGCCGACGGCGGCAGTCGGCCCGGGGGCGGGGCGGGGAGGCCGGCACCGCCCTCGGCCCCGCCCCCGGTCGATGCGGACACGAGCCGACTTTTTTCATAAAAGTTGTTATTGAATTTTTGACGCAACTTTTTTTGCAAATTTGTAACGAATTGCGCTCAAATGCCTCACTCGAAATAGTTTTAGTGCGAAGGATCGAGTGTTCTCGCTGTATATTGATTTCTTTTTCTAGTTATTCATTGAATGGATCACTAGTTGACTTAACTCGCACCGCAAGCTGAGAACATAATATTGAGTGTACTTGAACATAAAAAAAATATTAATCTTTTCTGATTCATAAGAAGTAGGTATATGGAATCTTCCATTCATATTCATATGTCTACTTATAATAAAATAAAAAAACTATTTTTACACTTTCCTAATAAGAATGCATTTTTGTTGTTGAGCTAAATATATGAATGTAGATATACCTATAAAATATAGGTATAACTGGCACAGCAATTTGGAACCATTAATATTTTAGTTTAAATTTTTTTCTATGCACTGTTACGTATAGGTATTACGTCTTCCGTATCCACGCACCTCTACATATACGAGTAACTCGACCGTAATTACAGGGACTTAAGGTTGTGAACAATGGAATGCGCTGGTCACTGGTTGGACCACGTCTACCTATATACTTATTAGGAATGATTTATTTAAATTGATTTAATGTCAGAAATATAGCTTTACGCCATCTCTAGAGTCTGGCTAACGAAAGCGTGACCTAAGAAAACGCGGCAAATTCAAAAAATATTTATGTGGTAGGTAGGTACGTATCACTAACTATAGTAAGAGAAAAATGTTTTGATACTTGAGTATTTTTTTTATTTTTACGACAGTTAATTTGTATAGGTAATAGTTGTTTGCGGACTTAATTTCTAATATTAGTATACCTACATACGTCACGTTATACCTATGTATGTATGTACCCGTTAGTTTGTGCACAAAAATGTACCTATCCTACAGTTACTAACAATGCTTAAAACAAGAGCAACCAGAGACTTTGAAATTGGACGTGCCTTTGACAGCTTAATAATTTTGCCATATCAAAACTTTTAAGAAAACTCCAGGACACGTTTTCGTTAGCCAGACTCTATCCAATCATTATTGAGACTGTAAAGCTCATTTGAATAGAAAAGCGGATGGTTGTTTTCTGCTTCTTTTTCAAAATGTATTGACTATTGAGCTTTCATAAAAAAATTGCACAACACATTTGTAACCTTATTATGTCATTTTATATTTTTTTTATAAGTATATATTTTTCTAGTTAGGTATTATACCTATAGGCAACCTCAAAAAGCGGCATCAATGGACCTATGCAATTATAGATAGGTAGGTATCAAAAGATTAGATTGATCTAATCAAGACTGGAACTTTTAAATTGAATAGATATGCAGTTGTAGATACATACCTAACTAGCGACTCACCCCTATCCCCAGGTACGTCCCTAGTTTAATTCTCAATACAAACTATTATGCCCATTTTCACCCCCTTAAGGGATGACTTCCGGGATAAAAAGTATCCTATGTCCTTTCCAAGGTCTTCTTACCAAATTTCATCTAAATGGGTTCAGTAGATTCAGAGATATTAGTATAGAAGTATAGATAACTACCTGACAAAAAAATTTTTTCAAATATTGATTATAATTTGATTACATTTTAAAAAATCATTAAAAAATGAAGCATATAAAAATTGTATACTTAGTTCACATTTATTTTTATTGGCGTTATTGTTAGACCACTAACGAAAATAATTGTAGTCCAGTAGTCAGTATGTACGTATAACAGTTAATTTACGTTTGTAAGAAAAAATATGCCACCTTATAGGTAGATATTTTAAATTAAAATTATCGAAAAAGTTTGTAAATATCATTCTTTACATTCATATTTCTCAAGGATATTTAGATATCTAATAATTACTTACCTAAGTAAAATATGATATACTTAAGTAGACATGTATTTTACTTTTTCATAACATATACTTATGTAGATATTTTTATAATTGGTTTTAATTAAAGGCAAAAAAAACAAATTTCAAAGATTTTACTTTACTTTTTTATTGAGGAATAAAAAATTTCATTCAGACGGTATCTGTTTTAAACCATACTTAGTACCTACCAACAAATTAAAAACAGCGTGAACTAATACTTTTACCTGTAAATAAAAATAAAGTAATTAGTACATAAATACTAAAACTAAAATATGACGATCTCTGCAATCATATAATACCTACGTATTTTTCATATAAGTATAACAACAAAATTTTTCTTTGGGTTTAACACTGTACCTACCTATTAGGTACCTATTCAGTATTTTCTTAAAGTATTATGGCTGAATTACACTATAAAATATATAAATGAGTATGTGAAGTCTTCTACTACTGCCATCTAGCAGAAACAGGCTATACTTTTATAAGTCAGAAAGTTGCAGATAAAACGTTCACCCCCTCGATAAAACTAAAACCCGTTACGCCACATTTTTTAAATTTACGATATTTATGAGTGGAATACTTATTTCAATGTACTACTTCAACATAAACATTAATTTACCAGTAATAACTTGATATACAACATAGGTAGGGTAATAGAGAAAACTTCATATCGAAATTAATGATAACGTGACAGTAAAGCGCTGCAAAAAGATTTTCCTGGAGCATTGACAACATTTCTATTAATTACTGTCTATTAAAACAGGTTGCGGGTTTGGTTGCTGCACATACATACGTATGAGAGTTTTGGCTACACAGATAGACAATTGTTCGTTCTAAACTAAGTAAACATTTTTTGACGATGTATGAATCATCAAAATCGATTAAGTTGTTTAGTAATTACCATGGAACATAGAGTCGGACATACATACGTACATACAGGTCAACAACATTACCCTCCTTTGCGCATCGTCGCAGTCGGTTAAAGCATTTAACTTAATATCATAATTAACTAGCTAAACAGCTACTTACCATCGCTACGCTCCAGTGCGTCCCTTGGTATCTTTTATATATATAGCATTACTAGTATTGCCCGCGGCTCCGCCCGCGTTCAGATGGCCAAAAACCAAATTCTTAGGTTTTACATATTAGTATACCCTTACATTGCAGTTTTTGCATTTTTTCTCAGAAATGAGATATTTTCCTGCAGTAAAAAGTATCCTATATGTTGACCCGGACAACCAGCTACCACCATACCAAGTTTTATCAAAATCCCTTCAGTGATTTTTCTGTGATACGGTAACAGACATACAGACAGACAGACAAAAATTCTAAAATCTATAGATTCGGCCTCTGTATCGATAATAATATTTATTTCAATAAGATTTTCCAAAAAATATTCAATGTACAGATTCGGTTTAATTACAATTTTATTATATGTATAGATAGACATGCAGGCAACGCCACCTTTCGATGGTATTTGCGATTTTTTTTACTAACAATAGGTAGGTACCTAGCCTATTAAGATCCAGGTCAAAGAGTATCTGTAGGTATACTAATTTTTAAACCCATTTACGCATATATACATACTAACTTTCGCTTTTATATCTAATAGAAATGTGAATAGTTACAGTAATTAGAATTAATAACCTATTACCGCATTTCTATTTCCCTAACCACTTTATAAGACCTCCCCATACACAGTAGCAGTTAGAACAGACAGCTCAAGCTGTAGCTTTACATTTAGCAAATTAAAATATAACCTTCTTAAGTTTTTAATGCAGATTTAAGTACCTACTGTTACGGGAAAAAAGTGTCTCAATAAAGAAAATGAGAAATTCTTTTTAATACATCCATACAATAGATTGGACTTTAGGTAGGAAATAAGACACATATTTATCCAAAAAATATCTATGTATCTATTTGGTTTGAAATAGTAATTACAATTTTATATATTACATACTACTATGTAATGTACTATGTAACCAGTGGTAACGCGCTCGCTTGGTAAACCAAGTGAAGTGGATTCAAATCCCGGGGCTCGCACCTCTGGTATTTGCATGTGCGAATCATTTCCAACATGATTACCACTTGTTTTACGGTGAAGGAAAACATCGTGAGGAAACCTGCATGTCTGAGAGAAACTAGCAAGTTTTAGTACATACATACATACATACATACATACATACATACATACATACATACATACATACATACATACATACATACATACATACATAGGGGAGGGGGGGGCATAGTAGGGTACTTAACGTTTAAACATTCCTAAAACCTAAAATAATGTGATTAAATTAAAAGTTTTAACTTAGAATTATAGCTTAATTCATTGCGAATGCCTATGGATACATTTATGTTGATAACGTAATTACTCTACGAGATATAAATACTTAAATGAAAAAAGGCATTTGACCCGCTATGCCCCGTGCATAGGGGTAAAGTGGGGTCCCCTATGGGGCATTGTGGGGTGGTCATAATAAGAAACGAAAAACAACTTCCAAACGAAATAGTTTTATTTCTTAGCAACATAACGACAGTTTAAAATAAAAATAAAAATAACAACACTAGCATAACAAATTTACTACAAAAACTTCTCTTTATTATTATTTTTCTAAGTTAAAGAAATCAGAGATCACACAAAAAACTTTAACATGTTTCTTTAAACTTTTATAAAACTTAAAAATAAAAAAAGGACATACAGAACTTTGGTTCAGTTAAGTAACGAATTGCGGTTAGTTATAAACATCTCCTTTAAAACTTCAATCACGATAACAAAAAATAAACGTAACTATTTAACTAATAAACTAACTTAAATATAAAAAAAGGACATACAGAACTTTGGTTCAGTTAAGTAACGAATTGCGGTTAGTTATACACATCTCCTTTAAAACTTCAATCACGATAACAAAAAATAAACGTAACTATTTAACTAATAAACTAACTTAAATATAAAAAAAGGACATACAGAACTTTGGTTCGGTTAAGTAACGAATTGCGGTTAGTTATACACATCTCCTTTAAAACTTCAATCACGATAACATAAAATAAACGTAACTATTTAACTAATAAACTAACTTAAATATAAAAAAAGGACATACAGAACTTTGGTTCAGTTAAGTAACGAATTGCGGTTAGTTATACACATCTCCCTTAAAACTTCAATCACGATAACAAAAAATAAACGTAACTATTTAACTAATAAACTAACTTAAATATAAAAAAAGGACATACAGAACTTTGGTTCAGTTAAGTAACGAATTGCGGTTAGTTATACAATAAATATATAAAATAAACGTTTTTAATCATTTTAAGCTGTAACAAAATTAGTTTTCAATGCACAACGCACATAAATGAGTAGCCTCTTCATCTTTTTCATCCTCTCCAGCACAAGAGTAGTGTGCCCATCGAGAACATTTTAGACAACGTATCCATCCCTCGGTTGACTCTGACCACAAGTAACCACAATAGATGCATTCAGCATCTTCAGCATCAGCATATTCTTCTGCAGAGCTTTTGCTGCCTTTCTTTGTTAACACCTTTCTCTTCTTCTGTTTGATGGATTTCAATTTCAAATCTTTAGCTACCCTCTTTTTCTGTTCTTTTAGTTCTGCGGTCTTTTTTATGGCTAGAAGCTCGTTTTTGTACGGTGATTCTGTGATGATTGCTGTTTTCCCTCGTTGCTTACTAACTCTTTTGCTTGTTCTATTCTCCTTAGGCACTGGCATTATTTGTTCTGGAGTTGTTGCAAAATTCGAGGGCCTATCGACCATCCAAGAACAACCAGGTTGTGGAGAAGGTTGCTTAGGCGGGGTTTGTATATTCCTGCCCTGTTGTCGTATTTGCGATGGTGGTGTCTTGTTATCGGTCAAAATTTCTTGGAGTGGTTGTCTGGGTGGGGTCTTGACACCAGGGTCACCTTCTGGGGTTTCTAGTCTCATTGGAGTGTTGTCTCTCTGCGAAATGGCTTCGTTAACTAAAGGCACCTTAGTAGGTTCAGGATTGTCAGTAGTGTCCGCGGGTGCAAAATCTACGTCAGTGAAAACATCCTTGTTGATAGGCCATATACCTGTAGTTCTAAATGCATTAATAGCAGTCGTCATTGTTGCTGCAGACACAAAAGCTTTTCCGAATAGGCCAGCTGTCTGAAATTGTGTCACCACACGTCCGGGATGGCTCCGCAACCAATTCTTTATTTCGCTGGAATAATATGTGCTTATAGGTCTCATGAACCCAACATCCAGTGGTTGGAGTCGGTGTGTGCAGTGAGGTGGAAAGCACAATAAAATAACACCATTTTCGCGAGCCAAATCAATGACCTCCACAGATTTAACATGTGCTGCATGACCATCTAGCAATAAAAGTGCTGGATTATCTTTGGTAGAATGCGACCACTCAATGAATCTCTTTAGCCAGAGGACAAACAAGGGACCCTGGATCCACCCAGATTCGTGACATTCTCCCCAAGATCCAGCTGGTGCCCCATCAAGCAACTCCGGTTTCATACGCTTCCTTGGAAATATAAACATTGGCGGCATATAGTTGCCAACTGCGCTGAAGCAGAGAATTGTGGTCATTAGTTTTCCCCTTTCTGCGGAGGTCAGTGTTCCTACCTGCCTCTTGCCACAAGTAGCAAGGATTTTTGATTGACTTTTGGGCACTGTGGATACACCTGTCTCATCAACATTGAAAATTCTTTGTGGAGTAAGCTTATGGTCATCGTAAACCTTTTCTAAAAGTTGAAAAAAACTTTCAACAGCTACTTTATTGAAACCCATAGCTCTAGCTGCTGATGTTGGTTCAGGTTTTCTGTAGCTAATATCTGGATGTCTTTTAAGGAACCCTTTTAACCAATCTATACCAGCCAAACCACTCTCTGAATCAAATTTATGAGGAATTCCATTTTTTTGAGCCACTTCAAATGCAAGTTTGCGCAGATCACGTGAAGTCAGTCCATGAAACCGTGCTTCCATCAGTTTTATGTAATCAATTAGTTCTCTCTCTTGATCGGGAGAAAACACGCTTTGGAAATGGCCCAATTTCTTTTGAAAGATGCTGTCGTCTGGATTGCCCCGATATTTAGAAACATAACGTTCTAATGTTGTTTGTGGAACGTTGTGTATATTTGCTGCTTTTCTGTAACCCACTTCTCCGGACACAACACTGTGTACAGCTTGTTTCATAGCTTCCACAGACCATGAATGCTGTTCAGTCTTCCTCTTGTATGTGCGGACCATGTTGGCTAAAAACGTAAAAAAAATATATATTACAACTTAGAAGTCTTTAAAACGGGGCAAAGTGGGGCACTTTTCTATAATAAAAAAAAGTGCCCCACTTTGCCCCAGGCACCAAACCCCACTATGCCCCACCGGCTCGTTCAAAATTAAACACAAACTGACGGCATCTTACCTTTGATTCAATGACCTTGTGCTGGTTGATTAAGAAATCCGGAAGGGAACTGATTCATAATAAACTATAACACACCACAGTACACAAGTACGTTTTAGAAAGAATTGCTGTTCAATTTCCCTATTTTTTTTAAGAAAAACACTGTTTTTGATATTTTTGCTTACATCACACAAACGCGTACCGAAATGGCGTGGCTTGCATATGGAGGTCACGCGCCGACTAACGACCAATCAAAGCGAGCCATTTGACAGTTTACACAGCGTTTGTTTTGAGCTGGGTAAGGCTCGCCCCGCTATGCCCCGTGGCCCCGCTATGCCCCCCCCTCCCCTACTAGTTGATTTCCAAATACATATAGGGACGCACCCTAGCGAAGCGAGGATAAGTAGCTTGTATATATGTAGGACGAAGGTAAATAATAGGTATATCAATACCTAATAAACAATTTGGGATATACATATATATACTTATACATACTAGCAGAACCCGCGACTTTGCTCGCGCTAAAACTACAAAAAAAACTAAAAAAGGTAGGTTTCATACAAACTTACATTGCCTACTATTTTAACCCCATATGGGATGAATTTCGAAATATGCTAAAAGACGTATTTGTTTAATTGTATTGAAGATCATTAATACCAAGATTTAAGTAATTCCGATCATAAATATTTTTTTGGGTTAGTAATTTTTTTGATTAATCACTCGCAGTAAAAATCAGCCTATGTCACTCTCCAGCCCTCCAACTGTCTCCACACAAAAATCACGCCAATGCGTCATTCTGTTTCGACGTGAAAGAAGGACAAACAAACAAACAAACAAACAAACAAACAAACAAACAAACAAACAGACACACTTTCACATTTATAATATTAGTATGGATGTTGCCCTACTTACCGTCCCAAGGTTCAATACGCGCTCTAGTGGTACTATATGGATAGAACGCTTGATCAGTTCCTGAAACGTTCTCCATATGAGGCAGCAACCATTTCTGAGCGTAGCAAGAATTCATGAGGCAGAACTTTGCGCAGTCGTCGGACGGGATTTGATCAGTTTTGTAGTGAATCCAACCAAACCATTCCGGTGTTATCTATGATTGTATTACGTACTTAGAAATAGAAATGACCGTTTCTCACTTTTAACCAACGAAATAGTTTGATTACATATAGTTTAACCTACATCTATGTGCCTATATAAAAATAACCTTTTATTATTAATTATAAAACAACTACTAAGTACTCTAACTAAAAAAATATATAAGCTATGGCTCTGTACCTGCCTATAGATATCATAGGATTATTTTGGTTGCTTAAGTATGATCATTTCAGCATAAAATCTTTAGGTATATTAATTAACTAACTCAAAGCTTATTATCAAGCTAACGTTATATTTAAATAAATTGTAATTTTACAAAGTATACGCTTTTTAATAAGATGCTACCAAGCCGCCCTCGCTTCAGTCCTTAAAAGCAATCCCTCGCCGCCTTTTTGCCTACCCTTATACCTACAGATTATATTATTTAACTACGTTCAGCTTCCTTTGGCTCCCTCCTATTATATTCGCATTAAAAATATCCAATATCCTTTAGCTTTGAACCTACCATATTACAAGTTATTAGTCGACCCTAAACTGGCAAGGCTTTTCAGAAACTTTTTTTTATATTTCAAAAAATTACCACTAATCGCTTCAATATAACTTTACATAAATTTCACAAACCTACATATTACGTTATATACCTACTAACTTGACTTGCATCATATTCCCATTTCACAGCCGGATTGAACTCAACCCAACGGCTGCGTCCAAGCATGTAGTAGTCGTTTTGGTAGTAGTTATTACCGAAACTGTCACTGCCCATCAGCGTTCCTATCTAATAGTTAAAAAAGTATACTTATTTACTTGCAGAACCCGCGTCTTCGCTCGCGCTAAAACTACAAAAAAAATTACAAAAAAGGTAGTTTCATAAGAACTTTCATCCCTTATTTTACCCCCTTATAGGAAGAATTTCGAAAAATGCCAAAACACGTATTTATTTAATTTTATTGAAGAGCATTAATACCAAGTTTCTAGTAATTCTGATCAATTTTTTTTTGGATTGTTATATAACGTGTTTTCCCATGGGAATACGATAATTTCCCGTGGTAAAAAGTAACCTATGTCACTCTTCAGCTCTCCAACTATCTCAATTCATCACTCCATTTCGACGTCAAAGAAGGACAAAAAAACAAACACTCTTTCACATTTATAATATTAGTATGGATATACACTATAATTGTCTAAAAGAGAAATTAATGCCATGCTGTAACAATTGGAAATGATAAATTATAGGGAATTAGTGAAAAACGTCAGCCAAATTGTTTCGGTAGAATGATTGAATAGTAAGTGCCTAATTGTAAGTTTAGTAATTAGTCAACCACTAGGTTTGGTATCTACCCTCCTTCTGTGAGGACTCTTTGTTGTATTTTAACATGTAGGTATATACCTATTAAAATACGTTAAATACCTAGGTTAATATGTTGAGTAAATTGAAGTTTAATTACTACTCTCAATTGTAGCCCTGGCTTCGTGTAGGTGTCGAGTGACGCGTACAAATAGACTTATCTGATACGATTAGTGCGCCATCTATTGTACGTTGATAGAATTGTTAGAAACCTTTACGCACACGTAAAGGTTTCATGCAAAACAATAATATGCATGTAAACACAATATCAATATTTTTAATTATACAAATAGCATTTGGTGAATGCACTTCCAATATAAATATTATAACTTTATATTATAATAAACGTTATAAGTTAAAAAGTTTAGGAAATAAATTATACTTATTTATCAATTTACAATCAAATGGGTGATCTAAGTACAAATATCTAAAAAGCTTTACCCACTTTCAATGTATCAGTACGCCACAATTTAAAGATCGCTTTGAAGGGGCCGCCGTTGTGTATTATAATCTTCAATAGACGCGCCCATTTATCAAGTGCTAAAAGTTTTATTACCATAATAGTTTGATTTTGTTAGGTAATATATTTAAAATTTTCATTAATTGACAGTTACGTCTTAATGAAATATGACAGATAAATTTAAAATTAGAAATCATTAGTTACATTTTAATTTTACAAATTAAAATTAAAAATGTAGTAGTCTCACTTATATCAAAAACAAAAAAGCAGTTACAGCGATAGAGGCACAATCATCCAACTCGAACCCTTTCCTCCTTTCTTTTATCTCAGTTGATAACGCACAAAAGTATTTATTTTTTAGGCTATAATAATTATTTTTGAGATTAAATGAAATAAGCACACTTTTAAAATGATATATATAAAATAAAAATGACAACTGTATTGGAATTTATAAACATATAGGCTCTATAGTTTATTAAAAATTAGAGTTACCACGCGTTATGGGACACTGTGCAACCATCCTTAGATATCCAAAGCCTATTTTTTAATTATATTATTTTTTATTTAGATTTAAGTAGTAAAGGTTGAAGGCGTAGAGTAATTTCCTTTAAATAAAACAACAATGAAGAAAAGCAACGTAATAATTTAATATTTACTAACAATCACTTGTTATAAATACAGATTACTCACAGCCTAATATTTAAATAAAGAAGGAAGATACATTTAACTTATTTAAAACAAATTATTTGGAAGTTCGATGTGATTATCAAGGAAGACGATACGGAAATATCAAAATGGCTACACGCTATCGTGCCTTATGAACTGATTAAAACAAATTATTTATTAATATTATCTTTACATGTTACAACAACAATTTCCTCATGTTTATAAGCAAGTTATATTTAAGCAAATTTAGACACACGGAAGTGTGTTTGGAAAAAAAGCTACTGAATAGTTATATAATGTACTTTAACGGTTTTAATATCATCAATATTTACATAAGTAATGCAAAGTTAAAATCTGACTCTGCTTGTTTATGATATAAAAAATAATTAAATAAATAATTTACAATATTATAAATTCAATTTCAAGAACATAAATAAATTTTTTTTAACATAATTGTAAATTCCAATACTGCTATAGAAATTGGCACACGATTAGACATTAACTTTTTCATCAGCGACGTTGGCAACATCGAAAGGCTTTTGTAAATAACATGATACTCGCTCACATTTATATTTTTGGTGCATAAGACACAACAACTTATAGCAAGGTTCGTAAGCAAAACAATATTAAATAAATAGTTAAAATAGGTAACAAATTTAATTGTTCTTTTAAAATTAAACAATTCATCCTCCAAAATGCCACTCCTGTTATAATATAATTTACCAAAGACATAAATCCATCTACTTTTTATAATTATAGTGCCCACGTTAACTACATACTACTATGTAAGTACAAGTAATAAACTATTACAATAAAAATTATGTAAGTAAGGAAGATATAAATATAGCACTCAGTTTTATGGCAGATTAAAATAATTCATTATAACAAAAATATAATCAAAAAATAAACTCCTTGCTTAATGTGATGACAAATTCTAAGATAAAACTAGTAAATAGAAATAAAAGTTTGATTATTATGTTTATTATGGCTTTAATATAATTAATTATTTGGAAAGATATTCTTTATTTAATAAAGAAATTGCTATTACAAATTAATACTTATATTATATAACTATACATATATTTACAAAAATCAGAAAGAATTTATATGGATGAATGATTAAAATTAATATTTAGTGTAGTTAAGTGCAAGCTAATCACTAATCAGTAATGACTTATTTTACCAAAAGAATTACATATTACATTAACATATTTTAGGGTAGGTAAATATATTATTTCTGGTAGTCAAATATAATAAAACCTCATTACTGTAATTAAAACGAAGAAGTGTGTATATTTGTTTTGTATATGTTTAAATATAGATTATAATACTACATTTTATTATATTTCCCTTGTAAATAAAAAAAAAACATATTAATACTAAAATTTAGAGTGCTCCGTTTTATAAAGTTTGAAATAACAATAAATAAAAAAAATGTGAATTAAACACTTTATCTACACGTGGGACTAAAAATTACCTTGAATAAATAATGTAGGACAAAATAAAATTAACACGATATATATATATATATATATATATATATATATATATATATATATATATAAGTTAGTTTCGCATGAGATATGTAAAATATATCCATAAGTACATTAAATAATCATTACGAAACTAACATTTAATACCTTATTAATGAACATCCATGAAGGCTAACTACTAGCTTATTGTACATAATTTAAATCAAATACATCAATAAAATACTATGTATTCTAATAATTTTATTACCAATACATTCAAAATAGTGTCAATAGTTAAATATTTTACTTGTAATCCAGTTATTCTAGGGTTGGATATTAAGATTAATTCATTACTTTAATTTTTGTAGTAACTCAATGAGGAAAAGAATCAAATTTAAATACATTTAATATCAACATTAATAGTTGGTCGAATATTTGGAAATAAGTATGTAATAATCTATACTAATATTATAGAGGTAAAGTTTGTGATTTTGTGAGATTGTGAGTTTGTGACGTTGTACAGGGTAATCTCTGGATCTACTGAACCGATTTAGATGAAATTTGGTAAAAAGATAGTTTGAGACCCTGAGAAGGAGATAAGATACTTTCTATCCCGGAAATCATCCCTTAAGAGGGTGAAAATGGGAATGAAAGTTTGTATGGGGAATCAAGGGGACGAACCCGAGCGAAGCAAGGTTGAGTCGCTAGTAAGTAATAAATAAGTAATCAGGTGGTCATTTTAATTATTGTAATAATGTAGTCGTACTGAAGAAATGCCAGAATGGCTAAAATCTTTCCAGATAGAAAAGTGTACAAAAAATATAAATGCCCACAATGAGTGAACTTTCAAAAATGACAATACATATTCATATTTTCATGAATTGCAAAATAAAAATCAAAGCCTTTAATTATTATTTTTTTCAACTATTCATATAAAACTATATAGACACATAGTCAGATTTGGTATTTTAGCAGTTATATGTTACATATACTTAAGAAAACAAGGTACTCACGTATTAACACCACCGCTGTAGATTGGCGGCACTTCAAACCCGCCAAGTCTATAGCTGCGGTGACGTATTATTTTAATGATATTAGCCTTTATTTGAATATTTAAAAAACTATATTTTACGCCACTGCAGCTATTGATTTGGCGGGTTTTACGTGCTGCCAATCTACAGCGGTGGCGTTAATACGTAAGTACCGAAAAAAAAATTTGGCACAACTATTCTGGAAGAACGGGAATACATCGAAGTATTATTGTAAGCACGAAAGTATAAGGTCAAATATGTTACTTAGATTCAAAGTTATAAGGATATAATATGTTAATTGTGTACTGAACAAAGAATTTATATAAAAAATAAATTATATATGAATTTATTTTTAATATAGTATTTCTACAGTAAAATTTAAAAAAAGGGTTTATACTCAAAAAGATATATCTAGTTGGAAATTTCTTGTGTCACGACACTCAACGAATAGATTGAAAGTGAAGCATTATAGCATGTTAAGTAAACGGTTAATAAAGTTACTGTTCAGTTTTTAATTAAAAAAAACTGCTTAAAGGATCTATATTGCGATTCCATTACATTTCTTACGTTTATGTCAGTACTTTTGTATTAACAAATGCCTACCATCCTTGGTAACGCACGATAAATCCAATTTCAACACTTTCCCATAAGAATCATATGGAATATTAAATATAGTAATAATTGTAAATATTTTATTATTTAAGTACTAAATTCTTGGCATTTACGTTGGAAGATACAAGTCTACTATACAGGTTATATTAATTACGAAAAAAACCGTCCATTAAACTTAGAAAAGATAACATAATGAGATAAATGTGAGTATTAATATGAAATACCGTCATAATAAATATACACAAAGTTTTTATACTATTAATATTATATTATTTACGAAGTATCTAAGCTACTCACGGGTATCATTAAATATATAATATATATTATATGAGCTAATTAAGTATATGAAATTAGATACATATCAAGGCTTCATTGTAAAAGTGTCCTTATCAATTCTGAAATAATATCTAAAATGGGAAAGTTATAATTTTTGGGGAAAACGATAGCTTAACAGACCAATTTGTTGTACGAGTATAATATTTTAAATCTGTAAATATTTTTCTATAAAAACTAACTCAAAGTTGGCCACTTTTCCTCCGACAGCTTCCATAGCCAAGTGCGTCTCAAGCGCACGTATCTTCACTTAAAATATTTAAAAAAAAAAATTTAAAAATCGATAGATTCTTTATGATTATAACATTAATTTTTTATTCCATTGTCACGCAATAGGTATATTTTATAAATTAAGTAATAGACTGTAGAAGTCTTAAACGGCAGTTATGTATGTACATAAATTATGTACTAATTTAAAAGAAAACTACATTTTATTTAGCAGAGTTCTTTACCATTTTTCATAAAAAATTCTAATTTGCAACCTAAAGTAAATGTATCGAAGCTAAATTCATTTTGTATTGGTTGTTTTTTTTACCATTTCATTCAAATACTATGTTTTACTGCAGTATGTTATTATTTATTAATGATACACGTATATATAATATGTCACAGTCAAGTGACTGTTCGTTCTAATCTAATGGTCTAAAAAATGTTTCGAATATATACAAAGTAGATATTAGTAATATTTAGTTAATAAGTGTTAAATAGTTTTACTACAAATTCTATGACAAACTGTATCAGTCCGATTTCATACATCGATATTATAGATATTATTGTACATATTATGCACATCATGGGTATTACTAACTAGGTAATATTTCAGCAAAAAATCTCTTTTCATAAGAGAACTTCAGAGATATTTGATGAGAGTCTAAAGTTATAGTAAATTTTAATTATTATTGAAAACCATCAAAGTACGAATTTCCACAGTCACTTTCATTTTCATACCCAGAAAATGCTTTTTAAGTTAATTCCAGAATCTATGATATAACAATAGTATACATATATCATAAATGAATGCTACAAAAAATATTAAAGTACCAAAATTTTATTGAAAATATAATTATCTCGTCGACTACTGTATATTATTCAACATCTTTGACAACTTGGAATGTAAATAGTTTCTTATAAAATGATCACAATCATCTGAATACTGGTTAGTTTGAGATTGGTGATTCTAGCATTACATGTTCATAAGTGACTTTAGAAGTATGATGGTCTAAATATTGTATGACAATCATTGGATATCACATTTATCAGTTGAAAGACATTTTTTTCATACAATTCAATATTTTTAGTCTGCTTTAGGCATAGATAAAATAAAGATTATTAGTATACTACCTATGGAGGTTAAAGGTAAGGAGGAGCCGGAGGGGTTTTATAAGGGAAAAAAGTAGAAAAAGTGTCCACTTGTATGCTGAAAATAGATGGCGCTGGCGTAAGAAAAACTACGATATAAATTTAGCTGTTCTAGAAGGAATCAAATGTGCTGAGTTCAAAAATTTATAATTTTTCATGACTAAAGTACTTAATGAAATGCCAGTATACAAAACCTCAACTGTTTAGGTAGTCTAAAGTACTTTATTTATTTTTCAAGGACACTTTTTCATACACAATGACTCCTCCTTACCTCTACACTCCATAATACTGATAATGACACAACATATTAATGATACATATTTTTAAGTAATAAATAATAATGAATCGTCCAAGAAACCCCTTTTTACCACTCTTCGGCTGATCGTGTGGATTTTTTTTATTTATATTAAGTACATAAAGTAAGTACATAAGTACTGATGATAACCTGATTATAATCAGATGCAATGTTTAAGTATCCATCCATTAAGTACTCACAATTAGGTCTGAGAAGATCCGTAGGTGCCTGGCGGTGGTCTATAATCTAAGGGAAGTGCCACCACCTGTTTCTTTGTGAAAGCATATTTTCTAACACCAATATTCTTATATGTATTCTCACGACGACACCCTTCACTGTAAATTATTAATATTAACGAGTTTAATAAAAAAACCATTTTTTCATCATTTGAATTCAATCAGTTTTTATTACCAACTCACTTAGGTTTTCGACGTTTCGTATTCATAGTTATTACCGAAAAAAATGTGCGGGGTAAAATAAAAACTCAACAAAATCCGTAAAAACAGGTATGTATATATAAAATGTCAAATAAGCGTCACTCGGTTTGAACTCAATGTAGGTCTGAGCGTAAACGTATACGAACACGTCTGTCGTATTTTATACGTGGAAGGAGCCAGGGCTCGTCGCTAGTACGATAATATACAAACCTCCTCATAATATTCAGAGCTTTCTTCATTTCGTTCTCAGCGAGGTGGTATTCTGACGCCAATATCGAACATTGCTCCAACGTGACCGACATACCAGTCCTGTCCTTGGCACTTTTGCACGATGTGAATCTTATACCTGTAATTAACACACTAATATTATAAATTTCGAAATTGATGTGTGGTAGAAAAACGGTATTTACTTTAAAGTGCGTGGTTTCTAGATTGAAATAGAAGCCATTTTGAAAGATATTAAAATGTCTTTGTTATTTAGTCGAACATTATTCAAGCGTAAAAAAATATTTAGGTGCAATACAACGACACAATACTAGTCTCAAAAATCGAGCGAGAGTAACTTCAGAAAGTGACTTGGTACTTTGATTTATTTTAACTTAAATTACAAAATTGTTCATTTCAATTTTTAACCCCAGGTGGGTGTGAGAAGTCTAACGTATGCATTTGTATGTCTGTTTGTGGCATCGTGGTACCCAAACGGATGAACCGCTTTTCATTTAGTTTATTTTTGTTAGGAGTTTTTGTTAAAAGGTGACATGATCGAAAGTGTTGTTAGCTATAAATATTGAAAATCCGTTTAGCCGTTTGCAGACTATTAGCTCTTTTCTATACCGTAAAAGGATATGAGCAAGTGCCATAGATCTAGTCGATTCGAAACTTGATATCCCATTACTTTAATGACATTGCAATGTTTTAAGGTTACCATAACCTTGGCATTATGCTGCAGCGTCACGTGCAATATACAAAATACTCAACTTACTATATATAATACTGCAGAGATATCAAGATACGGTTCTTTTAAATGGATCGGTTATTGTGTTGGATTCGGTTAAAGTTTCTTTTAATTTTTAATGTATAAGTTGTAATACAACTGACATATCGACTATAGAAAAGGACAAACAAAAGATTCCGCGTTATTTAGGTAAGGTTTAGTACTAGGGTATTTCTTAAAATTATATTACTCACCATTCATAAGTCTCGTCGCTAGGGCAGCTAATTGTAAAACTTCTATATTTTTAGGCACTTTTTTATGTACGGCTATACGTAAGTTCTCCATCACTTCTTCTAACGGTTTAGTTCTCGATGAAGCTATATTAATATTAAAAATTATTTATAATTTGTACTATGAGAAATCAAATCCTTTGATTCTTTGATCACTAATTTGTCTGTCAGTCTGTTTTTATTAATATTAAGACTAGACATACAGGATACATTTAAAATATATGAGTACCTAAGAATTTAAATTTCCATTGATATTGAGAAGTACTCTAATAATAATAATAGAAACTAGCACTTAGTTAAATAAGTAGTAAACACTCCATTGTGTATTCTATTCTATAAATATCTTAAATGATTGTCATTCAAGCACTCTCTATGTATGTACCTAGATTATAACCTATTTTAAGCTCGTAATAATAACGATATACAGTAATTTTACTATATTTTATTTATATATGTATTCTAAAGTACTCTACAATGCAATATTTAAAGCGACCTAAATAGCAGAACATTTTAAAATGTCTAATTATAAAGTAACTAGCAGTACCCGCGGCTTCGCCCGCATTCGAACTTCCGATATAAATATTAGTTTTACAATAATATATGGAAGTCTGCCCGATTTGTTGACATTTATGATTACCGCTCCGCCCCCTTGGTATTAGCATGATGTTTAATAGCCTATAGCCTTCCTCAATAAACGGGATATCTAATTCAAAAAGAATTTTTCATATAAGATTGGTAGTTTCTGAGATTAGCGCGTTTAATCAAAAAAGAACTAACAAACAAACAAACTCTCTTTATAATATTAGTATAGATTACATATACTACTGTAATTTTTTTTTTATTGTGAACACTCAGCTCATCAATAGCTACTAAATAAAAGAAAAGAAAATTAGTTGACAAACAGAGATGAAAAAGATACTGAACTGTTTTGTATAGTATTTATGTATAGACTAGCGACTCACCCTCGCTTCGCTCGGGTTCGTCCCTAGGTACGTTTTAAATTTTTTTAACGGAACCCTAATTCTTTTTCTAAAATAAAAGTAGCCTATGTAAACTACCTATAACATCAGCTATCTTCCAGTGAAAGTCCCGTCAAAATCAGTCCAGCCGTTTCAGAGATTATCCGGAACAAACAGACAGACAAAAATTAAAAAAAAATTGTGTTTTTCTTATCCGTATCGTATATAATTTCATATACATTTAGTAAAACACTGTTATTTTGACATTACAAACAGACACTTCAATTTTATTTATTAACTGTATTTAAATTTTTTGCCTCACCTCTGTTAGGAGCCATGGGGTCTGCTGGAAAAACTTTATTATACTTGTGATAGTACTTGCATAGTCTATCTAAGTTGTCGTTATTTGAATGATATTGAGGAGTTGTTTCTCCCAGGGCTTCGGCAAGTGTTGCCTTCTCGTTTACACCAATATTGAAGAATACAGCCGTTATTGTAAAACTTAAGTGCTAAAACATAACCAAAAATATCAATAATGTTTATATATTTAGGCAATTGTCTTATATACTAACCAATCACCCTAACTCCGCTCGGCTGCGTATCTAGGTACGTAAAGCTAAATAAGAAACCTATGTGTTATTCCATGTCTCAGTGTATCTGGGTACTAAAATTCATCCAAAACCGTCCAGCCGTTATAAAGTGAAGAAGTAACACACACATGCACACATATATACGAATATATGAACTTTTGCATTTACAATATTGCTCCAATAAATATAAAAAATATAGCGCTCTCTCACTTGGTTCTATTTTTTGCAAATATGAGAATATGTGATAAGCGTTAGTATCTGCACGATCAATACAAACGTATCCGCATACAGGGTGGGACTAGTCATATTTGGTAAACAATATGAGTAAAGCTTTTGTGACACCAAATTATTATTATACACAAAACCGGTGATAAACTCTCGGACGTTAGGTATAGGTCATAAGTGCACATGTGAAGACCGATAGTTTATAATATAACATTAATGTAAATCTTGCATATGCCATATACTATTGGAGTTCCTATTACATAAATAAATAAGAACTAACTTCTATATACTTCCACAGCGCTATTCCGAGATGAAAACAAAACAAAACATTTTAGAAGTAAGAGGTATTTGGTATAAAGGAAGATATAGGAAGTCACAAATTCTCAAAAAAGTACATCACGACAGTCTTAATTTTTATAGAAGTGATATATTTATCATTTGCATAATATGTAAAAGAATTTTTTTTCTTGGTTAGGTTAACAATACTTCCTTCCTCATTCCTCCCTTCGATCAACAATACTATTAGACATCGTGTCGGCATAAGATATCCGTCTCGGTAGGTAAATATAAGCTCACTTGCAAAGTGAGCGTATATTTCGATTAGTTCTATTGAAACACTGCCAACGTAAACACGTTCACAATGCCGCAATGTGTATTTAAAAGTTGCAAGAACAATACGGAAAAAGATTATTTTCGGGCGGAGTGTCTTATTTTCGTTAAGTACATGTAGATTAAGTGAATATTTTCAGATTTAACCTACGAAATAATATAAAAATGATATTTTGAACAATTTTAAATCCGCTAAGATCGTTTGGCGAAATTCAAAGAAGCAAACAGAAACAAAATATAACGATTAAGCTTATAAAGCTACAATGGGAAAAGTACTTTATGTTTTTATATACGATTGATTTTACAATAAATATTATAAAACTTACGAAATAATCGTTAGTGTATGATGATAATTTGAAGATTTGTGACTTTATTACAATGTGCTATGGTGTTGATTAGGTTGAAAATAAAACTATTATAAGTCTTTGTCTTGGTTCGTTAGTATATAAATGAAGCCGCATAAGTGCATATTCGCGCGGACAGAATTTAGCTTTGATTTTGTACACGTGACAAGTTATCTAGTAGTATTGTTGATCGAAGATTCTACCGATTTTAACGTTAGTCTAAACGATAGTGTTTACCTGTTTATTTGTGAATTTACTATAAAGCGAATCTGAGACTGGTATGTACACGGTCAACGCGCCCCGTGTCCCAGTCACTTGTGGTATCGCCATATTGCTGAAAGAATAAAATCTTTAGTAGGGGAGCCCAAGAGGGGATTTTCTGTAGTTACTCGAGCGCGGCAGATTAATATACAGGGGGATACCTTGTACCCGGTTAAGTACCTCCACAAAACATGAGGCCCATATATAAGGCCGCCCGTGAAGGATACAGGATCAGATTAGTAAAAAAAAATTGACCACCAGAAATTCTCGAGCGCGTCAGATTAAGGTAGGGTGAGTTAATTACATCCTAAAAAGTGTATATTCCACTAATCTGACAATTTGAGAGTGACGTAAAAAAAGGGGAGGGCAACAAAGTTGTAAAAAAAAAACGTCATCTCGACATTCTCGAGCGTAGCTAAATTTTTTTTTATTTTGAAGGAAATAATGCAAGAATAATGAAAAATATATAATCTGACGATTTCCGCAAGCCGAAATAACAAAAATTCGTCGATAAAGTTAAATGCGTGCAGCTGCGTGATGCCTACATTTCCTTCTCCGCGTTTCTATTCCTCTCTCACTCTTTCTCTATCTATTACTCTCTCACTCCGTCCCCACTCTGATTTCTGCCGCCATGACACCATCAGAGCTGATCATAAAGAGTCTAGGGGTGTGCGAACATCGTTCGAATCAAATCGAATATTAATATTCGATTCGAAATTCGAAAAATTTCGAATAATTCGAAAGTTTTCGAATAATTCGCGAATTAATGAAATATCTCTGGATCTTCAATTCGAGAGATATCGTGAACGAAAGAAAACCGAAAAAAAGTGTTTTTTCGGGATTACTCCGAAATTTTTGGTTCGATCAATTAAAACCTGAAAATAACTTATGAGGATAATAAAACTGCGTCGAATGCCGTCAACCGCGTGAAAATTGCTTGATCTATTCAAAAGTTATTGCGGTTTGAAAATTCCAAAAATAGTGTTCTATGAAACCTCTATCAGACTTTCGAGCTGGGAGAGCTCAAATGCATAGAAATATTATTTCTTTGAACTCTGCGAGCTCAAAATATCACATAAATTATATTTTGAGCTCAAAAATGCCATAAGTACAATTTTAAGCGCACAGGAATGGAATTAGCGGGAAGTTGCAGGTATGGCCTTTAAGGTGAACCGTATTTCTAATTTTTTTTTGTTAGATCAGGCGAATCCCTCTAGATAATCGTCAGATTATGAGACAGTACGTTTAGAACATAAAGATGAACCATATATATCTTAATCTGATGCGCTTGAGTATTTCAAAATGGCGTTTTTTTTTGCACATTATGAAAATGGCCGCGAGTTTGCGTCCCATCGAAATCGTCAGATTAGTGAATGAGAGCTTTTTTTTGGTGCAATTAACACTCCCTTAGAAAATCTGACGCGCTCGATTAAATTTTTTTTTTTCATTTTCAACCCTTAAATACAACCACCCGCATCATGCAAACGATCAGATTAACATACGTACATTATTAAAAATACGTAGGGCATTGATGCTATCAATATCTGACGCGCTCGAGGATGTCTATGCAACAGTTTTTTTTTACATATTTAAAAATCTATAGCCGCTTCCCCCACCGATGTAAAGGTATATATCATATAACATTTTTTTCTTCTTATCATCTAAGCTTTGCATCCCAATAGGTCTCTACGACGCTCGAGTAAATCCCCATTTAGCTTCGTGGGCTCCCCTACCATTTTAGTACTACTCTTTTATAACACGATTACCGCTTATCTTCAGGTAAAGGAAAACATTGCGAGTCAACCTGCATGTCCGAGAGAACCGTTGGAACCAAACATCAAAATAAACCCCCAAAAAAATGAAAAGATAATATAATTTAAAATGTCAAATATTCGCGTAAATCCAAGAAAGTATTGTACTTTAATAATATATCTGCTAAAATATGAAAGTAATATAATATGTTATTGCAGACATTTTTACAGAGCAATTGAGATCTACGTTTAATAACCATTCCTATATAAGATATAATAAATAATAATAAATGTTGGGACATTAACACACATCACCATCTAGTTCCATGGTAAGCTACGAGGCCTGTGTTATGGATACCAGATAGTTGATACACTACACATATATAACTTTAAATACACACATTTTATAAATATAGACACCCATGACTGGAGTACAAACATTAATGCTTATCACACAAATGAATGCTCCCAGCGGGACACCCGCGACCGCTGGCATAGCAAGTAGAGACACTACAAACTGAGCCAAACGTACCATCAAAGTACCCAGTACTTTTTCTACTGACTCGATTCACTAATATACCTAGTCAATATTCAGCTAGTATAAGTGACACAACAATTTTGAATACATCACATGCTTCCTAATGCACATTAATTAACAATTAAAGCTACTGGTACGTACTATTAGATATGTACATTAAGCCCAGTCGGGTTATTGAAAATATAATAAACTTAACCGCGAAAAAAATTTATTTCACCACCCTTTAGGGGGAGTCACTGGGAGTGTAAATTTAAAATCGCGCCATCTTGATCTTTAGGGGGAATAGTTTTTCCTCAATATCACGACCATTTTCAATTTTTCGAGAGAAATCATGAGAACTGAAGTTGTTCATTATTCAATTCTCTACGTTTTATTTGTTGCTCATTTTTCGGAAATGCAGTTGTTGAATTATGTCGTTTATTATTATCGTTGTTAAATAGATAGAATAGTGCTATGGAGTACATTATATCAACTATATTTATAAAAACGCTGACCAATGTCAATTTAACCTGAATGAGGTGATAAAAATGATTGAAGGAGACTTTACACCAGATCGAAAGATAGTTAAAAACGACTGGGCTAATTTTACAACATAGGTTCCGCACGACGGCTATATTAATCAAATTACGCTTTAATGTCGTGGGTTTTAACATTTTTTTATTTGAAGTTTTTTTCATAATTTCCTAAGCACGTTTTTTAAATTTTAAATTTATATTTTTAACTAATACTGTTTGATTTTTAAGTAAAAATTTAATTTTAAATTTATTAAGTTTTGTTTTTCTTTCATGAAAATTGTTAAAAAATTGCATATTTAAGATGCATGTGATCAATGAAAATAAATCTCTAAAAAAAGCTGTATTTTAATTTAATATACCTATATTTAAAAAAAAAATATAATCTAATAAAATAATAATATATTTTATTTCACAAGCCTGTATATTTATCATCGGTTCATGCAGGTTGGTCATGCATGCTGACACAAAAATACGATGATGCTCAATTTCAATTATCTAAACATAAAATGTACTGTCGGGCCTCGGGAGCTCACATGCTGTAAGGGATTCGATATAGAAACCAATGTTTAAAACCCCTTTATTTCTTTACATAAAAAAAATATAATCTAAAAAACAAAACACTCGCAAAATTGAAGAAAAAGATACATATTAAAATTTAAAATAAAAGTTATTCATTAAAGCTATACCAATTTTAGTCATACCTGTGTCCAACTTTGGTCAAAGTAAATACAACAGTCTGTAAGTCCTCGACGGCCACTACCATGTCACCCCACATTGCTTTTTCCACAGAATAGAGACTCAATAGGCCTTCGAATCCGCATAAAGGTCCAAGATTCGATGTCAGCACTTTGACTACCAAGTCACAAGGCATTGAGCAAAACCAACACAGTAATCCTGCTGTTAGTGTAGCCAGCTGAAATAATAAAATATTTAAAAAATGGAATATGGTAAGAAACGTATTTTACTATTAGTAAAGTAATTTAGTCCAAAGTTTAATTAAAAGTATATTGCGTAACATTTTGGTGATAAAACAGAGAAGTAATTCACCACTTAAATAATGAGCTATCGTTTATAGAGAATAAGTAAAAATAATTCAAGTTCCAAAGTTTTATTCAGCATTCAATTATCACTATTTGAATTGAACGTCACGAATCTACTACCAGTTCGAAAAGATACAGCCCAAGTCTGAGGATAACTAGCGAAAGTAACTAAGCGGGAATAAAATTATTGTTTTGCATATTTTTGTTAATCTATACTACTATTATAGAGGTAAAGTTTGTGAGTTTGTGACGTTGTAGAAGGTAATCTCTGGATCTACTGAACCAATTTAGATGAACTTTAGGAAGAAGATAGTTTGAGATCCGGGGAAGGACATAAGATACTTTTTCTCCCGGAAATCATCCCTTAAGGGATTGAAAATGGGTATGACAGTTTGTATCGAGAAGCAAGCTAGGGACGAACCCAAACGAAGCGAGGGTGAGTCGCTAGCAATATTGTAAATTAGGATAATTCTCCAACGATCATTTTCAACGACTGGACGGATTTTGACGAAATTTAATACACAAGTCGACCCTACGTCCTGGGGTAACATACATGCGAAGCGAGAGTAAGTTAGCGACTTACTCTCGCTCATCTATACTAATAAATGGAGAACCGATTTTTTTGTTCTGTTATACTGCGATAACTACTGAACCGATCGGAATAATACTCATACCATAAGATGCAGCGTGTTTCGGAGAAGTTAATAATTAATAATTAAGTAAATGTTAGTGATTAATGTACTATGCGGGCGGAGCCTCAGGAAAACGCTAGTTGTTAAGAAAGTAGAAAATAAGATAATGCATATTTACCGCTTGTGAGAAGCACGTATCTCTTCGTGTTTGCAATGCGGCGTTCTCCCTAGCCCAAGTCGGCGATTCACATCGCAGTCGTAGTGCGGCGTGCGATATACGAATCCATCGTACTAACAACTCGGTCGTTATTTTAAATTCTTCTGTCAATTTTTTTAGCTGCTCGAGTTCCTCTTCAGATACTTCTAAAACGTTGAATTTAATTAATCAACTTTATTTTTTTAAGGCTCTAATATAATATTATATTGAGAAACAACGAAAATTCATGCTTCTGATAGTAGATAATCTTTAAGGTCTCCCTCGTACACAGGACACGTGACTAAATCTTGACTTAGTTTGCTTAATGTACAAACATTGCATACTGGTACTACACACCGTCAAAAATAAAGTCAATTCTAAGCGCTTCAAATTTAGTGACCATTTGCAACATTGTCTTAGAAATGCCTCCCAACTTGTTTGGAACATTTTTCAAGGTGTCTAATAAATGCTATGCTAGCAGTCTTATAAATCATCTAATTATTACCCAAGTATTATATATAAAAATCAGCTTTTATACTATAACGTAAGTAGAATTATGATTTCATGAAAAGGCTGTCTGGCAAGGGTTTACCACGATGTTAAGTGTCTGGCATTGAATGACGTGATTTTTAATAATATTCTGAAGGTAATACCAAAAAATCACACTTTAATATTTGACGAATTTATATCGGTATTTTACACACCTTTAGTACCGTGTACCTGCCAAAGCCACCGTAGCCTGAACTTCATAATGGTCCATCGTTCTTATCTGTGTTGGGAGCATGCGCTGACAAACTCAGCTTTTATAAAATGAAGTTCTGGCGCTCACAGGCTCTAAGGCCATAAGTGCCACGTAGAAAAAATATGAGCCATCAATGTCTCATGATGTTCTCTAAAGCGTTTACATAGTAGGAGATATATCGTTAACTGATTTATACTAATATTATAAATGTGAAAGTTTGTAAGGATACGCAAATACAATAAAGATAACACAACATACATATTTTCCTAATACCAAACAGAACCAATAGAGTATAAGCAGTTTGATCATTTCCACGGCTGTATAACCTACACAATATCAATAATTCCGACCATAGACAACAGTTAGATAGACAAGTTAATATAAAAAAAATATATAGACGTATACCTTCATTTTGCTCAGTCAATTTAACAACAGAATCAATTACAACAGTCATTGCTGAGTCCACGTCTGTGCCTACACTCTTTAAGAAGGCCAAATTGTTCTCTCTTGTTATAGAATCTATCTGTCCAATGCTCGGCAAAGACGACGATTCCTTCTTTATTTCGGAATTCTGAAATGGAAATTACCTTTATTCACTATAATTTAAACAGACGTTTAAAAATATACGAAACAATTCTAATAGAGGTGCTCAGAATTGATTAATTATACAGTTTCATAATCATCAGTGTATCATAAATGCGCAAAGATATTGGTAAATCAGTTTAGATCACAACTAAAAAATTTCCTTCCCGTGGGGTTTCCCCGCTTTATACGAGCTACTACACAAACTGTGTATTTAGCTTTAACGTATATATTACAAAAAAGATATCGCATAGCCATATTGTGCATAATTGATATAAAACATAAGTATTCGTCTGACATATTGTATAAGAGAAATACAAAGTTCGCGTTGTGGAAAACACATTCACATCAGCTATTTATTTATATTAGCATCTTGATATAATCTGCCACAAACAAAAATTAATCATAATAAAATACTTCTGTTAAAATGCATTTATAACACTATCTTAAAACAAATTAAATATTTCAAAGAAAATAGAATTTTATATGAAAATACAGTAGTGAGAACTGGTTTTACAAATATAAATACTTTTAGTACTTTAACGTAAAATAACAGTTCGCAAAGGCAAAAACGAGATACAGATTTAATATACAGAGAAAACTACTAAATAATATACCTTTTTCTTATCAAGCCCACCCAGGCTTTCCATCACACACCTATAAGACACTTGCTCCAAAGACGCCGTACTTTTAAAATCGTGACGCAAACTGCCTTGTCTAGTTCTTTTCGAATCGAATGAAAAACTATGTGCATCGTTCAATTTGGGCTTTGTTGGTGAACGAACTGATCTGAATGAATGATTCAATCGATTCCTTTCTTCACTATTAAAGTAATCGTTGAAGAATTGTAATTCGCTTTTTGAATCTTTATTTTGACAATTACTAAAGGAGCTCGATGGGAATAGAGCTGTATCGATTGTTGGTGAAGTTTCTTTGGAACTAGAACTAGATGAAGCATCAAATGTGTCGCAGTCGGAATTGTCAAACACATTTAGTTGTTCTGTCAGACGTATTATTGTTGATGTTACCTAAAAAGAGACAAAATATTGTCATATGAATTATTCAACTGAACCAAAAAATCTAAATTTATTATTATTGTAATAAAAAAATGTAGATTTATCGAAATTAAAAAAAAAAGTTGTAATTACATGGCTTTCCGTGTCATCATCACAATTACGTTTCGGCCATCCAATAATTGCTAATGATTCTTCCACAACAGCCGGTTCCCATAATGCAAGCATACTTTTCACTTTGCCCTTAATGACTGTGAAATAAAACATATAACGAATTATTAAATAATAATTCTCCGATTTACTTTGATGTGATGTGTTTTTATAGAATAATATAAGTATATATCTTATACTTAAATATAAGCAGTGTCTCGTGAGTGAGATGTCACTGCGTTCTCCTTCTGTCTCACCCAAACGTCCCTCTCTTTCTTTCTGTTCTCTCTTTCTGTCTATCATTATCTCCCTCTCTTGTACTCCCTCTTATATATATAAAAAGACAAAGTGATTGTAATAAAAAATATTTTGCAAACCTTCAGTACTGTGCACTGCCTCAGTTTTTTGATTGGCTTGCAATAACACTACAATTCTTTCCATACACGTCACACTTTCATCTCGTAACCGAATTAATGCCATAACATTATCGTACTCTGCTTGTATTTTATTTGCAGCGGCATAATTTAGTGCTGCCTTTGTGCTGCTTATGTCTTTTACTTGTTGGACGAGTCTAAAAATATGTACAAATCATAGAGTAGATATGCATGTATTTTTTTATTCATTAATTCATTGTTTACTTTATCAAGCATTGTAAGAAATATATATACGGTTGAAAAAGTTTATTCTTTATTTAAATATTTTACTCTTAAAGCCTAAATATAATTTAATTATTTAATTATGTAGCTCTAGCTCTCGTTGCGTAAAGTCAGATTCGCACTTGACCGATTTCTATTGTATTACATACCTAATTAGTCCACCAGTACGTTCAGACTTGTGCGTATGAGCAGCAAATGCACCCGCTGTAATGACGTCATGGAAACCAGTTTTGTTCAATGTGTCGTTATATACCCACATACGTTGTAGGTGCAAGTTGATCGGCGCGAATTCTAAGCTCGAATCATCTGTAAAAATATATAATACTGGCGACTAACCTTCGCTTTGCTCGGATTTGTCCCTAGCTTGATTCCCCATACAAACCTTCATCCCCATTTTCACCCCCTTAAGGGATGATTTCCGGGACAAAAAGTATCCTATGTCCTTTCCAGGGTCTCAACTACTTTCTTACCAAATTTCATCTAAATCGGTTCAGTAGTTTCAGAGCTTATTCGGTACAAACAAACAAACAAATCTTTCTTCTTTATAATATTAGTATAGATTATAATTAATTACTAGGCGCCAAACGGTAGCCGCTTGTAACGTTACTCCATGTCGTTTTCTATCTCTGTACTAAAATTTATCCAAATCCGCTTAGCCGTTTCAGCGTGAAAGCGTAACACCCACATACATTTGTTCATTTAATAAAAAAAACTTTGTGTGCACTTATGTTCTCACGTAAGAAGTTATACTTCTTTGGTGCATCAGAACAAAAATAGCTAAATATTTCATCCCGTATGTCACAGCTCTCTGTTTGTAAAAGGAATGCAGCTAACTTCATCATGTCGCTTTTTGGCTGTCGGTGTGCGCGCCCAACGTAAAAATTTAACTCTCATATTTTTTTCCAAACGTGCCAAATGAAGTATAGCTTCAAAAACAATTGGGTTTGTGAAATTGAACGATTGTTGCTGCTAGAAACTAAATCAATGGTTTTAAAACTTGTTGTAATCTATATCAGTTCACGGGCGCCTCACCTGATATCGAGCGAATCATAACACGAATCATAACGGGCGAATCTCAAGTGAGATTCAATGGATCGCATTTGTGGCACAGATTGTATCATATATATTTTCTGACTTAAATCATTTTATTTCTATAATTTCCATTAAAATTATAGTTTCTTTAAAGATAATAAAGTCTACCCGATTTGCTTAAGTTTTATAATTTACCTTTCTTACTACTGGCTTTAAAATATGCATGTTCTGCTTGATGCAAGCACCTCTTCGAATGACAGTAATGTTTTAACAAAGACACATGAGTCCCAGCCAGCTCTAACTGCCTGCTTTGCCAGTGACCACACATATCCCCAACAGACAGTAACTCTTCTAGGAGCTCCTTTTCCCTTTGTATATATATTTCTCTGAAAAACCAGAATAAATGCATGTAATAAACTAATAATAAAATTACACATTGAATATCGAAAACATTGTGTTTAGAAAAGGCACGCCAACTCTTTATTAATTTTTTTGACGAAATCTCATTACTAGTTAGAAATTTCAATATTAACCCACATCTTTAAGAGATATAGCAAAAAGAATTTAAAAAATACTTAAAAATCTAGATAATTAAAATGTTACTTACAAAAGCTGCATTGGGAATTGGTAACACAGTTTAGGTTCAGCCATTATTTCGTGAACAGTTATATCACCGCCGAGACCTGAATGGAATCTGTATGTGACCTGATGACTGTTAACGAAGTTCTGTTTTAAAAGACTTCCATACGACGGAAACTTTAATTTGAGACCAAGCCTAGGAGGCAGTGACTGGGAACGTCTATGACACAGAACTTTTTGCGGTATATCTATACAATTCCTATCATTCGAGTGGCTCGGACTCGTTCCTATGTACGAAGGTTCTAAACTCCAACCATTTACTGTCACAAAACCAACAGTCTTGCTATCGCGGGTTACAAGAGCCACACGCAATCTCTGGGCTTCCTGTCGTAAGGAAAAACAATGTCAAACATTAATCTTATTATAATTTATTAAACCTAAAACCTTAAAAATGTGTACAATTATATTAAAAATAAAATCAAACTTATCTTCGTCTGTTTTTTTTTTTATATCCTACTAGCTGACCCGACAGACGTTGTCCTATCTACACGTCTTTAATTTGAAAATTTCAAAAAAATTTTAATAATTGTTTTGATGAAAATTATTATTGAAATTGTGAATCTAAACCATTCCCAGATCCCCTTGAACACACACAAAAAAATTCATCAAAATTGGTCCAGTCGTTTGAGAGAAGTTCAGTGACATACACACTCACAGAAGAATTATATATATAAAGATTAGTGAAAAAATGATAATGACATTTAACTTCTTTTTGAGTTTACCATTACAAGATCCCTTTCGCCCAGCATGGGTAAACAAAATTGAAACAGAATGCAATAATATATTTCGAGTACTGTATCAAATATAAATAGATAAGTTTAATACAAAAGTTCAATGTATAATATTAGAAAAGCATAATTCGTATAATTTATGTATATATTTTTTTCATGAGATTGGTATCTTAAGTGTAGGCGAGCTTAATTAAATACCCGTAAACGGTAGCTTTTAAATTTTGATCAATAAAACAACAAAAACAAATTTTTGAAGGAACCCCTGTAATGTCAGCGTCTCGTACAAACTCTCGTACTAACAGAAAACTCAAATAACCACCAACTTCAGTTTTTTAAGGTTTCCAAGGCATCCTTTCTCTTTCTTACTTGAACAAGTAGTTCCCAGATTATTTTTACTTATAATTTCTGACAACTATGGAAATTTCCACAATTCTTAACCTATTCTCGATAATAGATGAACCTTGCGTTCGCCTATATCCCAAAAACAAAATAAAAATATTTACAATGAAAAAAAACAACCTAACTCTAGAGAAAATCTCGAGCAAGGCAATTCAGTCGACTGGCAAGATGATGACGTTAGATTTTAAGGCTGCAAAGAGTTTCTTCATGGATGGATGAACCTTTAAATTTGGAACAAGTTTGAGGGTGGAAAAATGTTATTATGTTAGAGACCAGGTAGAAGTTACCTGTATAGTGCTTAATTGCATTGAAGTATATCCCATTGGCACTGCAGTTTCAGAAACTCGTTCTTTGACATCATACACTACCACTCTGACGATAGCATCTCGTGTTAAACCATCGCTCGCACGAAACAGTATCGTCTTTGAAAAGGAAGGATTGCTGCAAGTCTACAAATGTTTTTTTTAATTATATAATAAGTTCGAAAACTCATAATAAGTTACATATTTCTATGATATTATAAACTTCTTCTCTTGTAAATTGTACTCATCCTTGTACAACGTACATACTAGTTTTACCTGTGGCTCTGTTTATGTTGTGATCTCTGATATAAGGCTCAACAGTTTTGAGTGAAATGGAACATGATGATATTCATTCTAAATTTCAATCCCTTGAGGATTAAAAAAGTATCAAACACCCGACGAGATTTTATCAATTTGTTATAAAATACGTGAATGATAAAAGTAGTACTAATATAATTATTTCACAAGTTTGTTGCTACACTTACTTCCACTATCTCTGTAGTCCCATACTTGATGCACAGTCCTTTAGAGTATTTTACATAAATGACTATAAGTGGTGAAGGAGGACGCCCATGAGCATCGCACAACAAATTATCGCAAGAAAGAGCCAACTCACAAAGTGGTACTTCATTCATATCTGTAAATGAATAATCTCCATACCATGTGCTATTTATTTATAATAACTTAATGACTGTAGACTTAAACAATGTTTATATTACTGTTTATATATATATATATATATATATATATATATATATATATATATTAATACTTTGACTATATGAATTGAAATTAATTAGAAATATTATAATTAGAGGTGATTGAATCGGTAATTAGTGGGCGACTAGCCAGGCAGAAAAATAAATTCGCGAAGAAATCCGAAAAGATACCTTTTTGGTTTTAATTTTTTGTGCTGAACCCTGATCCTTTTTATAAAGTAAAAGTAGCCTAAGTTACTCTTTATAACATCAGCTATCTGCCAGTGAAAGTCCAGTCAAATCGGTCCAGCAGATTTTTAGAGATTAGCCGGAACAAACAAACATACAGACCGACAGACAATATTTTTTTTTGTTTTATTTTTATTAGTACCGTATATAATTTCATATGCATTTAGTAAAAAGCTGTTATTTTGATATTAAAAACAGACGTTTTAATTTTATTTATCTGTATAATAGATGTAAAATATTTGCGTAAATCTAAGAAAGTAATGACATGACTTAATTTAAATTATGTAGGTACTTTTACTAATACAAACTGTCTTAGCTATACAATTCACTGTTTTATTTAAAAAAAAAACACAAATAACAAAATTCAAAGTAAACACAAAATCTGTTCGTACATGACCGCACGCGCGACGCGTGTAAGAGATGCGAAGCGCGACAAACATCGCGGAAAACAATGATCGGCTCGGCCGACTAGTCGGCCGATTAGTCGGCCTTTTTCCAACCGACTAGTCGGCTAGTCGGCACATCTTTAATTATAATAATATCTAAAACTAACATTTCAACCTTGATTTGCTTGAGTGCATCCATGGTGCCTAACAGCAGCCTTTGTATTTTATATTACTCCAGGCTACAAATAGTCTATCTGTGTACCAAACATCCAAATTTGTCCAGACATTTTAGCATAAAGGAGAAACAAACAGGTACACATTCAAATACAAACTAACCCATTCATAAAATATTAGACTGATTACTATTAATGATTTAGTACTCACCCAACACTATTCCTTTTTGTAATCTATATGTTGTTATATCAGTGATAGCTCTTATTCTGTTAAGTTTTTCTTTTAATGCTACAATTTGTGAATTAATAGCATCATATGGTGCCATTTCAATAGCTTTCAACCAAAGAATACGTTCTGCTTCATGAAATGTGGCCATTCTATAGCAAATACCGTTGTCCCACACTAAAGAAAATAGTAAAAATAAATGACAATGGTTGAAATATGTTTGTCTAGTACTGAGTGCAAAAGCATTATCTCTAGAATAAAACAATTTTCATATATTAAATTAAAATTATTCTAGAAACGATATATCATGTCATATATTTTATCTACTTACATATGTGTAAATGTTGTGTTACACAGACAGTTAGCCACTTTCTTATAAAAGAGAAAATTGTAGACATAAAGAAACTATATTTATAAATTAATATGTACTATTTATATTTCATTACCTATATGAAATGGCCAATATCCATTTTCATCTTGATTTTGCAACTTAATTTGATGTTGGCCTAAAACAATTACACCAATAGGCTCATGCCAAGGATCAGGACCTTTTAAGTAAAATAAAAGATTGCCTCTAAGACGGAACCAACGCACGGAACAACCTATAACCAAATTATAATTTATATACTTTGTACTTTAATGAAGCAAATTATTACTACTACATTTTAGTTTACAGCAGTATGAGTAAGTGTTGAGAGTCAAATAGTTAAATGTATCAAATTTGTATTATAGAAGGTTCTTAATAACTATTTTTTAAAATAATGAAAAGCACTTAAAAAAAAATATTGCCCTCCCCATTAAGCATATATTATTTTTTTATCAGTACACAGAAACCCTGACACCCAAACTACTGAAAACTAGAAAAAGAAATAAAAGTAATCATAGCATCCACCCCTCTTCCAGGTGTTAGAATAACTGCTATGGATAGGGAGAGAACCTTTGTTATATCTTAAATATATATATATATATATATATATATATATATATATATATATGTGTGTGTGTGTGTGTGTGTGTTATTTAATAATACGAACATTTGTTTACCTTCGGAACGACGGAAAAATCCGTCTTGTTTCTCCTTCAACACCATTACACCCTCACGATCGAAGTTTTGAGAAGTCTGAGAAGCTAGCGCAGCTAACTCTTGCTTGTTAAACCTCATTTTTAATGTAAAGTGATCACATTTGTTTTGTAACAACAAACCACACCTTTAAAGATTTTAGATTCATAACAAGAGTCAATACATTTTTTGTATTATCTATCAATATTTAAACAATATGATACATTTAAATGTTGTCTAAAAACAAGAAATCCTTTATGTCATCATAAATATATATACTTATAGAGTAAGACATATTCTTTTATAGCAAACTATTACTTGATAATGCATACTAAATATTTAACTTATCGGAAATCGCATCTTTTCAGAAGCTTCGACTAAAAAACGAAAATGACAGATTGGATTGACGGGAAGAGATTTTAACATATGACATTGGCACTTGACACCATGCTGGCCACAGACAATGTTTACCTTCTACGTCTGCCTAAAAACATTTCGAACATTAGTAAATGTCTGTATGTTTGTTACTCCTTTATGCTAAATCGGCTGGATGGATTTAGATAAAATTTAGGACACAGATATAATTGACCTGGAGTTACTCATAGGCCACTATTAGTAATAAAATTTGATAAAAGGTTGCTCTATATAATACAACTGACTTATCCTCACTCCACTAAGGAAGGATTTTGCCTTTCTCTCCCACCAGATGTCGTGATCTCTATGATCCTCAGTATATTGTAAAGCTCTATAGCGTGGATAGTTTTTTCATTTTATTTAAAATTTAACTAAAATGACAAATTGTTAAGTGCCAGTATGCAAAGAAAATGGATACCATTTGTTCCCAAAAGACAAAAACTGAATAAATTTGGGCTAAAGCAATAAGACGAAAATATTGGCGAAATCATAGTCTTTCTATGTAAGGCTATGTGGACATCATATTGTAATATAATAATGAAAGTAATTTTAAAACATTTAAATTATCTACAGGTGAATATTTTTTTTATTTATTACTAATTTTTGTTAAAATTCATTTGAGCTTAATAATATAATATGTACAGATACGTATTGTGTATTTAAATTACCTATCCTTACTTTTTTATTGCTGTATTTATATATTCTGTCATAAAATACCTGTTTTGTCAATTACTTTTTGTAATAATAATGAATATTTTAGATGCCCAGAAAAATAAATAGATAAGAGGAAAGTTGTTCGATTGTAAAACTACGAGTATTATTAATATTGCCTTAGATATGGGTTATTTAAAAAAAATATATTATACATTTATTTTATAACAATAAAATTCATGAGCATTATGAAATGAAATTCCTTTAATTTATTTTCAATGTTATCAATAAATATTTATATCTGGCTTATTCTTCTTCACTAAAATGTATATCTTAAATACACATAATTAATTATTATGCTATACAATTTTAAAAATAAGCCCACAAGTGTAGAGGGTAATTTATAATTTCTCTTGATCACGTGACCTATGGTCTACACCGACCACAGACAAACTCAAACTGTCTTTTCTATCCACGCCCGGCGGTATCGGCTCATGTCCTCTGTTGAAATTAAGTTGCTAGAAATTTAATGTTAATAACGGAACCATGGACACCAGAAAGCTGACGGAAATATTGCGTGCTACCATTGACCCAAATCAGAGACAGCAAGCAGAAGAGCAACTCGCTCAGGTAAAATGCATATTGTCATCCACATGCTCAAGAAATTTGCAATGCGACCAATTTGCAAGGTTCAATAATGACTATATAATATCATTGTATCTATGTCTTTACAATTTTCTCGGGCAATAATATGCCGCGCTGGTCATAATTCTCCGATACATGTTTTCGTATATTACTACAATTACTCTTTTGTTTTATTGTGCTGTATACATAACCTGGAAAATTCTCGATTTGACTTCGTATAAAATTGTCTTATTTTAGTTAATTACGGTTAAATCTAACCAAACTTTATAATTTTTCTTAATATATAGAAACTTCAATAAGTAGGTACTTTCAAAATATTCTAAAAATAGATAATATATGTTGAAATTTTAATATCATATGAAATAGCATACTTCGCCAATACCATTGACCGTGAAAACTAGAAATTGTCGCAAGCAAAATATAAATATTATTAAATTATGTAAACAAATTTCAGATCCATAAAATTATTGGATTTGCTCCTTCACTGCTACAGAGTGTTATGTTACATGATGTTTCTATACCAATAAGACAAGCTGGTGTAGTGTACCTAAAAAACTTGGTGACCTCAGGATGGCAAGAAAAAGAGGCAGAAGATGGAGAACCAATACCATTTAGTATTCATGAACAAGATCGTGCAATGATAAGAGATATGATAGTGGATGCTATTGTTCAGGCACCTGATATTATAAGAGTACAGCTATGTGTTTGTCTCAAGACTATCATTAAAAATGACTTTCCAGCAAGGTGGACACAAATTGTTGACAAAATCCACATTTACTTGCAAAATCATGAACCTAATAGTTGGATGGGAGCTCTCCTTTGTCTCTATCAGTTAATTAAAAGTTATGAGTATCATACTGCAGAGAAAAGAATTCCTCTTATTGAGGCAATGAATTTGTTGCTACCTATGATGTACAACCTCATTGTGAATCTCCAAGCTGATCAATCTATGGAATCTGTGCTTATACAAAAACAAATACTCAAATGTTTTTATGGTCTAATAAAGGTAAATAATTGATTTAATGTGGTATATTAGTATCTATTTTTATGACTGACCATATTTTTTATCTGTTTAGTACTTCTTACCACTGGACTTAATCACAAAGGAAATATTCACCAAATGGATGGAGGTCTTGAGGTCAGTTATGGAGCAGCCTGTACCAGAACATACTCTTGAAGTTGATGAGGATGAGCGCATGGAATTACCTTGGTGGAAATGCAAAAAGTGGGCTGTGCATACCCTGTACCGCTTATTTGAAAGGTTAGTACTATATAACTAACAATAAATACATTATTATTTTTATAATCATAAAAGAAATGATTTTTTACTTATTATTACTCTAGGTATGGAAGCCCAGTAAATGCAAGAGATGAATATGTGCAATTTGCTGAGTGGTATTTAACTACCTTCACTGGAGGTATTTTGGAAGTACTACTAAGAGTGCTAGATCAATACAGAAACAAAGTATATGTGTCACCAAGGGTGTTGCAGCAAACCATTAGCTACATTGATCAGTGGTAAGAACTAATCTCTAAGGAATATTTTTACTATTGAAAAAAACATATAGGATTGTATTTACTTCATCTAGTTATATACATCAATATTAGTTTTTTTTTTGCCAAATATGACTTTACAGAAATAGAATCTTTTTTAGATATTTTTAACTTATCTTGCTAGTTTGCAAAAAATGTTTATTTTGTTTAGAAATTAATTTCCAGTAAATTGTGTTTTATTTATGTACAGTGTAAGCCATGCACACTCTTGGAAGTTATTGAAGCCACACATGTTTGCAATCATACAAGATGTCCTCTTCCCACTCATGTCTTATTCGGAAGCTGATGAAGAATTATGGTTCACAGATCCTCATGAATATATTCGTATCAAATTTGGTAAGTAGGACCTATATAACTTTATGTATAATATTTACAACAATCATTTTTGTTACATGAATGTGTTTTAATTTTGTGTTAAAATTATTTTTTTAGACATATTTGAAGACTTTGTGTCTCCTGTGACAGCAGCACAGACACTACTTATATCTTGCTGTAAAAAAAGGAAAGATATGTTAGAGCGTACAATGCATTTGTGCATGCAAGTACTAACAAGTCAAAGTGGGGAATATGGACCCCGGCAAAGGGATGGAGCTTTACATATGGTGGGAACTTTGAATGACATCCTCATAAAGAAAAAATTCTATAAAGAAGAAATTGACTCCCTTCTCAGTCAATATGTTTTCCCAGAGTTCCACAGTCAACTTGGATATATGAGAGCCAGAGCCTGTTGGGTTCTTCATTGCTTTGCAAGTGTGCGCTTCAAAAGTGAACCTCTTTTAATTGAAGCCGTGCGTCTCACTGTGAATGCTCTTCTTACTGACACAGAACTGCCTGTAAAAGTAGAAGCAGCAATTGCATTGCAAATGCTCCTAACATCTCAGGAAAAAGTTCACAAACTCCTAGAACCACAAGTGAAACCTGTGACAACAGAACTACTTCAGGTTATACGTGAAACTGAAAATGATAACATTGCTAATGTTTTACAAAAAATTGTACCATTGTATACCGAGCAGCTCATGCCTATGGCCTATGAGATTACTGATCACTTGGCTACTACATTCAGTAAAGTAATTGAAACTGATTCTGGAACAGATGAAAAGGCAATAACAGCCATGGGTCTCCTTAATACAATGCAGACAGTGCTAAATGTCATGGAAGACAATCCTGAAATCATGGCACAATTGGAAAAGACTGTCTTACGAGTAGTTGGTCACATTTTGCATCACAATATTATAGGTGCTTATTTTGAAATTATAATTGTTTCTTTTTATTTCATATACATTTAAATCAGTGTAATGTAATTCTTAAATATTTTTTCAGAGTACTATGAAGAAGCTATGACATTATTGTGCAATTTGACTGCAAAAACAATATCAGAAGATATGTGGAAAGTTCTAGAAATGCTGTACCAGGTGTTTGAAAAGGAAGGATTTGATTACTTCACAGATATGATGCCAGTTCTTCACAATTACATCACAGTAGACACCAATGCTTTCCTGTCTAATGAAAATCATATTTTAGCAATGTTCAATATTGCCAAAGCGGTAGGTTTATAATATATTCGTTTATTGTTTTGTTCTATTTTTTTTATTGTAGTTGTTATAGCTTTGGCTAGTGGCACTGCTCGTGTTATAGGTATGTCTGTGAAAGAGTTAATTCAGAATGTAATACAAATCCATACAGCCTATATGGTGTGAAGGAGAAACAAACAAATGCAAAAATTTCACAATTATATTAGTTTGATAATATGTTAATATGCAATGCGATTTGTTGTTGCAGAATGTAATTATGCATAGTTGTACTTTTATTATTATAAACACTAAGTTTAATTAATAATTATTCAATACTTATAATAATTTTTATAAGATAATATTTGTAAATATGATCAATGTTAATGAAATTATGCAATGCGAAATTGTCGTTCCAACAATTCATCATTATTTATGCCCAATGGATCTAATATATCTTTTTGTTAATTCAGACAAAGATATTTTGTTAAATATAGCTCTATACATGAAACATGACATTTGCATCTGAAACAATATTTGAAGTATTTTTATATTGGTGTAAATAATTAAACTTTAACCTATATATATGGAACTAAGTATTATATATACCTACATGACAAATAATAATAATTATTCATTTGATTTTATTATAATAACTGCTATACTATTACGAGCATAAGAAATTTGTTTTGTTGACCAAGAGAGTGAAGCATCTGCTTCAAGTCTGGCAAGATATGCTTTCCTCTGTCAGTTTGTTGGTACTCCTCTACAGTTTTTATGACTTGATATTTTTTTTTTCATCGGGGATTTTTGATTGGAGAGGTACTTCCTCCAAAATAGGGGCTAAAGCTACTGGATATCTTCGCCTTATGAAATCCGATTTAGATGGTTCTTTTTCTATTTAAAGGTAGTAATTTTAAGTTGGTCTCATAAAATTTTGGTGTAGATCTAATGAGGATCTTCAGATGAGCAGAATAGCTCCTTAAAATACAGTTTGTGCTTGCGAGGTCTACTAGTTATAATTTACTGTGCGAAATTAAAAAAAAATGCCAGTGAAATTTGTACTTTGCAGTGGTTTGACAGATCTTATCTTATAGCAATGGCAATATATAGCAACTTGAATGCAATCTACATTTACAATATTAATTGATTGATAGTGACCAAAAAATAATTATGTAGTAATAATTATTCTTTAAATAGTAAGATAAACAACATATTATTTGTATTGATTTTAAACAATTTTTTGATCAGGTGCTTAACTCAGATGCAGAAGATGAGTCTGAAGTGTATGCAGCAAAACTCCTGGAAGTAATAGTTTTACAATGCTCTGGCAAAATAGATAATTGCCTACCATCCTTTGTCGAGTTGGTCCTTAGTAGACTCACTAGAAAAGTCAAGACATCAGAGCTTAGGACAATGTTACTACAGGTAAAATATATTTTGTTTATGGAAGTATTTTAGTCAAATATTTGGAAAAATTGCTTAAATTTAAACAAATGCAAATAAGAAAAATATTTTTTTAATATGGGATATAAATTGACTTGGTGTAAATACTAAATATTCCTCGATGGTCTAGTGGCATGGGTGAGTGGTATATACGGCTGCAGATCTGGAGGTCCTGGGTTCAAGGCCCGGGTCGGGCCAAGTGCAATTACTGAGTTTTTCTATTAAGATATTCTCACTAGTAGCCCAGAGTTGAGAAGTTGGCGGTGTTGCACCCTTGTAGCTTGGAGAGCCGTCGATTCTGCGCCTTAACTCTCACCGGTCATGTCTCGTGTCGTTCCACCAGAGTATAAAAGTGACAGGAATAGAGAGTGTTGTTGTGTCTGCACTATAATATCTCCTGCTTGCTTGTCTTAGTGAGTTGGCCGCATTGGCCGGATTCGCTTAGGAAGTCATTACTAAATACAATATATATATTATGTTATTGGCAGGTTCTGATAGCAATCTTATACTGCAATCCACACCTGTTGTTCACAATTCTGGACAAACTACAAGAGTCAGTGCCCAATGCATCAATAACTCAACATTTTATCAAGCAATGGATACATGATACTGATTGTTTTATGGGGTAAGTTTTAAACTAATTCACATTTTTCTACATATTTTAACTAGCTCTGTGTTATATATAGCACTATAAAAATTTCTATAAATAATATGTCAATATTACAGATTGCATGATAGGAAATTATGTGTACTCGGTATCTGCACTCTTTTGGAGATGGGCCCACAAAGACCTAATTTAGATGAGATATTACCTAAACTTCTGCCGTCATGTCTAGTACTGTTTGACGGATTGAAACGCGCTTACGAAGCAAGGGCAGAAGCCGACGAAGACACGTCGTCTGAAGAAGATTCAGGAGAAGAAGATGAAGGTAAGGAAAACATTGTAATATAACTAGCGACTCACCCTTGTTCCGCTTACTTCCTATTCTCTCAGCAGCAGCAGAAGAAATGTTTATAAGTCAAGACTATATATGATTGATATGTACTTACAAAAAATATGCAACTTTATATGCCACTTATATTTTACCAGATTCAGTGATTTTATGTTAAAATATTTGAAATCACAATAAAAATAAATCATTTCATCACAAGTACAGTTTGTACCACTTTGTACCAGTTCTTGTACTTACAAAATTTTATTTGCAGAGGTACTCTCAAGTGATGACGATGACATTGATCAAATGAACAACGAATATCTAGAAAATCTTGCGAGACTAGCGACTAAAAACAGCGCACAGCAAGGCATAAACCTGACTGCTAAAATTGAAGAATATGAAAGTGATGAAGTGAGTTATCTTGATCAGTAGAATTTTATCATGCGATAGTGACCAATTTGTTAGGTTTTTTAAGTTATTTGTTGATAACAATATCTTAATTCAAATGATCAATTAAGCTGCTGTGTTGTTTTTGTTATATATGTATGTATTTATTTTTCTCATGGTTTTTGTAGGACGATGATGATTTCGAACCTGATGAGACTGCCATCGAATGTTACACGACACCACTTGACGAAAAAGATTGCACTGTCGATGAATACATTAAATTTAAATGCACATTATCTGGTAAATATACAATTTGGGAATTAAAGTCAATCAATTATAATATTATATATAGCATTTTACTAATATTAATATTTTGCAGCTCTGTCGACCAGCGAACCAGCGCTGTACCACGCCTTGACCAGTGTTTTAACAGAAGAGCAACAAAAACAATTAAATGCTGTATTTATTTTGGCAGACCAGCGTAAAGCACAACAAGACAGTAAACGCATTGAACAAAGCGGGGGTGAGTTGATCTTCATTAATATTTAATGAAATAAAATTGTGCTTATAAACTTAATTAGGTACATATTTTTGTCAATGTGCGCTATGTCACGTTTTTAAAATTTGTTTTCTGAAAGGCAATGGCCTTCTGAAGTCAGGTGGAATAAAAGCTATATGGAGTAGAATCGTTGTTATATTTACTTTTTTTTGTAAAAAAAAAATGTAAATTGATAATATTGCTGTAAAAATACTATGATCATTAGGAATGTGTATTTTTATTGTACTTATTAAACTTATTGTAATGGTTGTCAACATTAAATATTATAATATTCTCATAAGAGAAAAATGACATTTCTTACATATAACATAAGCGACTTACCCTCACTTAGCTCAGGTTCGTCCTTAGGTTGATTCCCCATATAAACTTTCATCCCCATTTTCACCCCTTAAGGGATGATTTCTCTAACTATCTTCTTACCAAATTTCATCTAAATCAGTCCAGTAGATCTAGAGATTACCCCGTACAATGTCACAAACTTTACCTCTTTATAATATTAGTATAGGTTTTTATTCATAAATTTTTTGTTTTCAAAAAAATTTTTTTTAAGGTATCCTTAAATTTTAATATTTTTGTTACAGGTTATTCATTTACTGTTCCTGCACAAGTACCTACGACATTTAAATTTGGTTCATAATTATTTTGCTAAATAAATTAAATGTCTTATTTACATAACTTTGTGGATATCAATCGATTTAGGAGATCAACTAAAATTTTTGATTACAATCCAATTGTAAAGCTCTCAAAATATAAAATTTTGAATATTTAATTTTGATATTTACATTCATACACTTTTGACGTTATAGCTTTTAGTTTATAGGTGTTTGTGTTTTATAGAAATGCAACTGATTGATTCTATTCTACTCTATACATGCAGCTTGTTTTGTTATCATGAAATATTCCTACAAATATTATTTCAGTCTTCATTGGAACACAGAAGGGTTTCGCAACTTTGCGCAAAAAACAAATGAATTATTATAGAAATAACATAAACATCTCTAAAAAGAGTACATTTATGATGTGTCAAACATACATTTTACCGGATCGGACATATAATTGGACGGCAGCTTGTTTTCATACGAAATCTGTACAGTTTTTGTATTTAAATCATATTAATTTGTAACAACTACAAATATAATACAATTGGAGAACTACATAATGATACAATTGAAGAAAAAACCTTAAGTAATAACAATATCCATAAGTATTCTTTAATTTGGTTTCATTTGACATAGAATGATTTATCTTACATTCAATATGGGTTTTTATATAAAAAAATATTTCATTGTATGATTGCTTTTAAAATCACAAAATATTTAAAACTTATAAAAAGATAACAACTCAAGGGGGTTTATTTAGATGTTTCAGCAAGAAATTTTCTCTCTCATGTAACTACTGTATTATCAATAAATAAAAGATTATTGTTGGTACTAATGTTAACATATGTGATGTCGTAGGCCTATTGTGGATATTAAAAATATATAATTATAAATTAAACATTTAAAAAACCCCTTACGCAAATTATCGACATTTAATGATTACACTGGCACGCGTGAAGCACTTAATCAAGTAACCATACGCCAAAATGCTTTACATCATTTTGGAAAAGAGCTGATACTCTTACACTGCTGTACCGATATTAACCAAACATAGCTAAGAACCACCGCATGGAAACTGGCTTTCATATGAATAAAATCGCATCGAAATCGGTCCATCCGTTTGCGAACTACGATGTCACAAACAGACGCACACAGACAAACAGACATCGACGTCAAACTTATAACATGCCTCTTTGCGTCGGGGGTTAAAAAATTAAGTTGAGAGTTCACACCACAAGATGTATAATATTGTATTCATATGCAAATTACATATGTAGAACAGTATATAAAACTGTCTACTCAACTTTTTGTAATGTGAGATAAAATAGGGAAAAAATATGTGATTTTAAAACTTTTTTGCACTTTAACTTTTTCACATTCAAGATATTTTCTGAAAGTTATTTTTCCAGATTTTTTTTTATTTATAGAACAAAGTATCTTATGTGAAATACTTTCATATTAATAAAATCAATAAGAATATATGAATTTGTATTTTCAATAAAAAATGTAGAAAACAAAATCTTTCTTGAAGTGTAGAAATAAATAATATATTGAAGCAAAGGAATAACCAATTATTCAAATTGACATCTGATCTTTGTTAACTTGCCAACTTTAAACCAATTGCTGTACAGAATTCACTTGGAAATCAATCCCGCATGAATTATCTACAAACGTTTTATAATATATAAGCTGTACTAAATAAGCAAAACCAAAATTTTAGTTTCACTAAATTACACAAACTTCAAGTCTATGATAACAATGTGTATAACATTTAAATTTAAATATTATAGCATGGATGTTTTTGTGATTAGCAACGTTGTGGTATGTTCTTGGATATAAGCTTCCTTGATGTATCAGAAATATATATATGTCGCCACACACATTATTCGCCTGGTTAATTAAATTAAACATTAAAATATTAGGATCTCGTAACATCATCTATATTAAGTGTGCTAACTACTTGGTAAAGCGCCATCTACACTGCCAGTCGATACGAAGTTTATTCGGTCGATTTATTAAACACTTTTTTTTTAAAGTAACTAGCAGAACCCACGGCTTCACTCGCGTTAAAACTACAAATAAAAATCTTTAAAAAGATATTTATTATTTTTCACACAATCTTGCATCTCCTATTTTACCCCCTTATGGGATGAAATTTGGAAAAATTCTAAAACATGTATTTATTTAATTGTGTTGAATAGCATTAATATCAAGTTTCAAGTAATTTTGATCATAAATATTTTTTTGAAATGATGATTTTAGGAATGAGATAATTTCCCGCTTTAAAAAGTAGCGTATGTCACTCCAGCCCTCGCAACTATCTCCACACAAAATATCAGACCAATCCGTCACTCTGTTTCGACGTAAAAGAAGGACAAACAAACACACGTTGATAATATTAGCATGGATTATGAATATTAATTACACTAATTATATAATTAATCGACCGAATAAACTTCGTATCGACTGGCAGTGTAGATGTCGCGTTACAGAGTAGTTAGCAATACCTAATATAGAGGTGTTACAAGATCCTAATATTTTAATAAATATGTTTAATTAACCAGGCGAATAATCTCGCGAATATATTATAAAAAATGAACTGAATGTTTGAGATAGTTCTGGTAACGGGACATTATATTCTGGCGTGCTTAATAAATAAGTATAAAAATAATTAAATGTGACTATATATTTATGCATATTGAATATGTAATAATATTTAAATAGTATTCATTTCTAGATAATGATTAAAATCTTTTCGTCTAGGTGCTTCTTGTTACAGAGATTATATGTAACCTGTGTGCCCTCTCCCTACTTGTGACCGACCTAAACTAGATTATTAGCTGAATCAATTTATGCTCTGTTATTGTATCGGCTGAAACATTCTACTCTTTAAATATATTGTTTAAGTAAAATTTACATGACACCTTCCACGTAAATTAGATATTTTATATATATTTAGTGTTAAATTAAGTAGTAGAAATATATTTAATTATATTTTAATGCAATATTTTAGTACCGAACCGACCCAATAGATAAGATAAGCGTTCGAACATTTTGACTCGACTTTGGCCGAAACCGAAACTGTGAGCGAAATTTGATTTTTACGTAAAAACCCGAAACTTCGGTCGGTCACTTTGAAATCATTGGTTAAAATTTTGTTATTTATAGTGATAATAAACTTGCTGTATTGAATGTTTTGTTTGTGAATACATGTCTTATATAATCAAGTTGTTTAGATTTTAACTGTTCTACTATATTAACAGTGACTTATAGGGGACTTCAGCCCATAGAACCCATAAAATTATATTGTCTTACTAATATTGATGTATTAGTGTTATTAATATATCTATACTATAATACACACTAATGTAAATGGAATGTTGCTTTTTGATGTTTTCAATGTATTTAAATTATTGGTCTGACAGTAAATTTCGCTTCGTAAAAAAAATAAACACTCTTAAATAATTTAGTTGATCGCTAGTTTGGTGATTCTATTTTTCTTGACTTTAAGTACTATGAATTATGGTCCACATCAGACGAAATATAGTTTTTACAAACCTATCTGGCATTTGACCATTAACTTTCTTACCGATTACCCTGTTATAGCTGTATATGAGCAGTAACTAGCTTATGTACGATTGCGAGATTGCATCATTCATGCCGGTACTACAAGAGGAAGTGTAGGAAGACGAAAGGAATATGAGATGGAAGTGAAGGAAAAGTGAGAACTGGGTCGTTAATGCAGTGTACCATTAGTTGGTCCCGCCTTGATTTGAACGATATTGCAAGTTATATATAAATATATATTCGATAAGAGGGTAAGATTCCCCTGGTTAAGCTAGTCCGTTCATGCTAACACAGGTACTATCCAAATAATATAATTCTAGATAAACAAATGTATGGAAATTGTTTCGCGACATAATAAAATTCAATCTTATCATTCATTATATTTCTTTTAAACATTGCAAGCTAGGTAGATAGGCATGACGAATAAAAAAACTTAGCAATGTAAATCCACAATTAAATATGTACCATAAACAAATTAAATATATATTATTAGATTGCACCTTTTTAAATTAAGTCTGTATTTTACTGTTGACAACTTTTGTTTACACTTACCTTCATAGTGACAAGCTTAGATGAAATTCTTACATACATAATAATAGCAAATTCATGTATGAAATATTATTTTTATTGGAATATACTGCTATAGTTTAATTCTTACATGTTTACATTATTACAAATTAATAATCTGTATTTTTAATCATTAGCTTTTCATTTCAATATCCTTCTATTGCATATTTTGGAACCCATCTTTGAGGATAATGAACGAAAAACAATGCTTTAATCAACAAGTACCTAATTGCAAATTTTGTTTCTAGATTATTCATTATTATAAAAACTTAAAAAAACTTTTTCCAGACACAAAAGTTAAAATTACTTAACTGAACGGGGGTGTTTTCTTTTACTATAGATACTTAATACATATATTTTCGAATTCGGGGCCAGCCGACAAGCCCTGTATTATGTTAGCACCTCAGACCACTAAAGAAGTACTTTTAAAGTAAGTACTTTTTTATTGGTCTGAGTCATCCTGCTAAATTTTATAAGAACACTAACAAACTAAAAAACTCTTTGTTAGTAACACTAAAAACTAGGCTTTAAAATCTAATTCTAACGTATTGGGCTTGTCAAATTAAACCAAATAAGCTCAAATTCAGAGTATTTACTAGTAGCCATTACAGAGTTCTATAACTCGCGTCATCTAAAAAGAACGCTGGAAGAAAGTGGAGGGGGTATGTTTGCGCATGGGTATACTCGCGCACAAAAGTACTAAGCCTATTATTTTATTTTTCATAGCATTTCGCTCGCGGCTTCGTATATTAGTTATTGGTAGGGACATTGAAAAATATATTAGATAGAATATCATTAAATAGAATTCTATTCATTATTAAAATATGTTTGATTCAGTGTAGAATGTTTAATCTACTTACAAAAAATTATATTAATACGTTTAATAAATTTTTTTAAATTA